AAAAAGTTAATACTGCTAGTCACTCGATCAATATGCTCTCAAGGGTACAATATGGAAGGTCAGTGATTATTTTATAACAAATGTCAGTTTATGATTTGTTTTAATCCTCTGTGTGAGAGAGGAGAGGGTTCTGCAAACCATCTGATGCAGTCATGGTAGAAGGAAGTTCAGAGTTCTTGCCAACTTTCCCCGACATTTGTATCGACTTCTGAGCCCCTAGAAGTTGAGATCATTGTCACCTAACAGACATCACTCTCCACATTCATAACATCCGTGACAATATTTAAACAACAAATAAAATAATCCGATACTGGCCTGCCCTCTTAGGGTCACAGAAATGCTTGTCACATGGGCGCGTTGCAGAGATTTCTGCCATCCCTGCCAATGGGGCCTGGAATTAGGGGTTGGCAAACTCGTCCTGTAAAACCCAGAGCCAGAGAGGAGATACCTAAGGCTCGTGGGCCAGTAGGCCTCTGTTGCAACTACTCAGCTCTGCTACTGCAGTGAGAAAGCAGCCGCGGTGGATAGGAAAACGAATGGGCAGCGCTGCGCTCCAAAGGAAGGTGTTTGCTGACCCCCGGCCTAGAGCACGGCTTCTCAGACTTTAATGGGTGCATTAAAGTGGGGGCTTCTTGTTCAAATGCAGATTCCGAATCAGCAGGTCAGGAGTGGGCCTGAGGTCTGCATCCTGACCCTCTGCCGCTCGGCGGTGGCGCTGCTGGTCCGAGGACCTCACTTTGAGCAGCAAGGCGTAACCGTGTCTCCTTGAGGCATATTCCTCCTTTCCATTTCCAGGGTGCCAGCAATAACACCGAGGCTCAGAGAGCAGAGACGAGCTCTTAGTTCATTAGAAATATTGCCGTAGGACCAGTGTGAGGTTTAGATCCTTCAACTCTGCGATCTTCAAAGATTCTTCTAGTGCTTCATCCCTTGGAGGAGGTTGGGGGGGGGGGAGTCTGGATTTCCCTTTCCTGAACATCACCCTTCCTCTTTTTCACCTCTGGGATTGGTTGCTGAGGGTCTCGCGCTCCTAAAGGGACAGATGGCTCCAGCCACCGTGCACCTGCACACGCGGCTCATCGAGGTCATTTATGCCAGCTCCGCTCCCTCCCTGTTGCCCCTTCCCGCCTCAGCGTGGGGGTCTCTGATGGCCAGGCGGACGCCCCCCTGGCCCCGCCTAATTGGCTGCAACGCAGGCGCTAATGTAGGTTGAGAGACCAATTAACGGGGCTTGTTTTCACCAATGCTGCATCGGAACATCAATTATGCTAAACAACACGCTCTATTAAGACATTTCCCTGCCACTATCATTTGCAATGGGACATTTCAGAGCAGGGCAGAGAGGAGCCGCCTGCCTGAAAGGTTTCTTTCTCTCTCTCTCTCTCTCTCACCGCTCAGAAGGGCTGGCCATTGGCAGCAGGATTTTAGAACCAGGAAGCCACAAAGCGGGAAAACAGCTGACACTAATTGGCTGCTTTATCTGGGCTTTAGTCTGTAGATCACGGGGATTAAGGTCCAAGGAGCCAGAGAATAGGTTGGGTGAGGGACCCTGGTAATCCCTCGGCATGGCCTGCCCATTCCGCTTGCAAATGGAAAGCACCAGGCACTGAGATAGATGTTCAATGTCTGAACCTTCAAAAATATAATCACAGTAACAGGAAGCTGTCGGGGGGGGGAGGAAGAGAGTTGTATTTCCTTCTCCCAGTTTAGCTGGTTATGAGTTCCATGCCTCCCTTGTCTCATCTCATCGTCTTGAGATGCACTCCCTGATTTGCATTATCAGTGCTTTCGTCTTTACGTGGCTCAATTCATGCATCTTGACCATGCTGCTCTTAGGGACTGAGTATACTGAGTAATCCGGCCAAATTTAGCACACAATCCCCAACTTGGAGTCAACAGTTTGGTGGGGAGACTGGACTACTGCAGACGTCTACTCATTTACTCAACCTTTCATCCCTTCAACAGATATTTGTTAATTACTCGTTGTATTTCCGGTGCTCTGCTGGGCTGGAAGCTCAGCCCCTACCCTGCCACGGTTATTGCTAGATAGATAGAAAGGTGGGTAGGCAAAAGAGCAGCAGTGATGTTGTGTGAGTACTGCTACCATGACTGTGACCCTACTGCTACTCAGGGGGGCACAAAATAGACAAAACATGACAGCACCATAGAATCATGTATTGTAAACCCTTAAAACGTAATGTAGGTTTAAAATGAGTGTTATAGGCCGGGCGCGGTGGCTCACGCCTGCAATCCTAGCACTCTGGGAGGCCGAGACGGGAGGATCGCTCAAGCTCAGGAGTTCGAAACCAGCCTGAGCAAGAGCGACACCCCCGTCTCTACTATAAATACAAAGAAATTAATTGGCCAAGTAAAAATATACAGAAAAAATTAGCTGGGCATGGTGGCTCATGCCTGTAGTCCCAGCTACTCGGGAGGCTGAGGCAGGAGAATCGCTTGAGCCCAGGAGTTTGAGGTTGCTGTGAGCTAGGCTGACACCACGGCACTCTAGCCTGGGTGACAGAATGAGGATCTCTGTCTCAAAAAATAAATAAATAAATAAATAAAAATAAAAGATTGGTATGTGCTCTCCTATACCCCATAGTGCTTAGTTCAAACTTTACCACTCTTCTTAAACTTTTCAAACTTCAAGACAAAACTGAGATTGTCAGATTTAAGCTCCCTCAACTCCCAGCAATTAAAGAACTATCCATATTTGTATTCTCACCCCTCCTCATGTTCTTGCAGGAAGAGCTGTTATTTCTCTTGTTTACTGTCTTTCCCTCGACCTGTGCCCATGACCAGCGAAGCCGCCGTGCCCCAGGCTCTTACTGCACCTGCGAGGGCCTTTCCCCGGTCGGCACCTCCATCCCACTGGCTCCTTCTTCACAGCATCAAATTACCATCAAGCCTGGTGTTCACCTTAAAAAATAAAGTCGTCCCCTCACCCTGCACCTCCCATCCTTTTCTTACCTTCCAAGCTTATATGTCTTGCTTCTCGACTTGTTCTCTGTTCTGTCCACCCTCCGCCTCTTGTTCTTCACATACCTGCATTTCGGTCCCTTCTGTCCCTGTGCCCCACAGATACTACTCTGGCAAAAGGCCCCAACAATATTCTGACAGCCACAAGGCACAAGGCGCCCTGGTTCACACCTATAATCCCAGCGCTCTGAGAGTCTGAGGAGGGAGGATTGCTTGAACCCAGGAATTTGAGGATGCAGTGAGCCATGAAGGTGCCACTGTACTCACCCTGGGTGACAGAGTAAGACCCTGCCTCTAAAATAATAAACAAGTAAACCTGAGTCATAAAATTTCCACCAAAACCTGCTAATCCTTTTGCATGCTCTGACTTGGTGAACAGCAACATCACTGGAAACTTGGATGGTTTTGCTTTTTCTCACCCTGACACTGGTCAATCAATCAGTCCTATCAACTCCATTTCCCTCACTTCTGTCACAGTTGTCCCGCCCTCTTCTCCATGCCTGCTGTTCCTGTCTTAGTTCGGGACAGGACTGAGTTCTCGTCGTCTTTTATTAGGACGAGGGCGATCATATTCCCATCTCATTTCCTTGCCTCTGATATTATTTCAGATTCCACCGCCTTTCAGTTTATCCGACACGTTGCAGCTAGGGTTGCCTGTGTAGAACACAAATCAGACCTTAAGCAAAAGCACGCTCTAAACCTTGTGTGGCCGGGCACAGGCTGCAGGAGCTGTCATCCTACAGAGGAGAAGTTCTGCAGGGCTACTGGAATGGCCACAGTGAGGGGTGGGCAGAGAGGGTGATTAAGGGCTTTGAATCGTAGACGCCCCTCTTTCTGCCCTCTGCCCTTCATCCAGTATTGTGCTGGCCAAGGTTTAACAACCAGCTCTCAAAAAATAAGGACAAAACCCGCAAAACCTTTATTTGTAGAATTTGCTGGTTTTCATGGCATAGATTCTCCCACTGTGGCCAACTCCAAGCTACCAAGATAGCAGCGTCACAGGATTGCTTCGGCACAACACCACTGTCCCCACCTTCTGGACCACCCCTGCCCTCAATCAGGAAGACTCTACCTTCATCTGTGACATGCGAGGCTTCCTCACGAGCCAGGGATGGCAAACAGGTTTTAACTCGCAGAAACTCTGATCGATTGTTAATGGCTGCCTAGAGGGCTGCAGCGAAGGGCGATTAAATCGCCTCCAGGCTCAGGGAACAAGAGCGCTGTGATCAATTAGTAATGTCTGCCGTGGACGTGAGGAGCTAGAGTGGCTGCATGTGCTACATATTTTTCCTGCAGCTGCTATAAGTACTAACTTGAATACAAGATTCCCTTATGCAACTGGGAAACAGTTTGAAAATTTATAGAACAAAGGAAAATCTCTGCAGTTACCTGGGCCCTCTAAGCAAAGGTTACCTTTTCAGTGGGGCTTTTTCCCTTTGTTCACCAAACTCTTGCCTAAATGAGTTGAAGCCTGTCGGCCCTATGATCTAAGGAAGAGGATGCAAGGCTGTGATCGTTCAGTAGCTTCGCTGCAAATGCCATGTGATTTGAGAGGATTTGTTGGTTATCTGCATAAATGTGCCCAGCCTGAGAACACCTGGCTGCTCTCAGTGAGAGCCATGCCGAGACTTCCGTTGGCCCCGTAGAATCGGTACGCTGGCCTCTGGACACATGTGTGCACGTGTTTAATAACGGGACTGTACTCCGGTCTGTCCTGTTCCTCCCTCTTGTGATCAGGAGAGGTGGACCCCAACTTCCTTCTCAGCGGACACCCTGAACCTCTGTGGTCGGCAAGCACAGGGTCCTGCCTGCCGTGGTGACAGCAAACACCCATCAGCTCTGGGGAACTCCCCTTCCTTCTCGCAGGACCCAGGGAGGTGAGAGTTGATAATAAAGTTCGGTTTTGCTTCACACATATCTGGCAAGTCTGTGTTCTCTGCATAAGGGCACAGTTGGACTCTCTTAGCTTTTATCTTCCGAACTAGATTATTTTTAAAAATATTTAATTGACAAAGACTGTATACATTCAAGGCATACCATGTGATTATTTAATATACATACACATCATGATTATTACTCTCAAATTAATTAACACATCCATCACCACCCATACTGTACCTTAGATCCCCTGAACCTGTTCCTCTTACAACTAAAAGTTCATGCCCTTTGACCAACACCTCCCCACTTCTCCCACCCCCAAGCTCCTAATAACTACGACTCTACTCTCTGTTTCTGTGAGTTCCACTTTTTTAGATTCCAGATATGTGAGATCATAAAGTGTGTTTGTCATTCTTTGTCTGGTTTATTTCATTTAGCACAATCTCCTCCAGGTTGATCCTTATTGCAAATGGCAGGATTTTCTCCTTTTTATGGCTGAATAATATTCTAGTGTGTGTGTGTGTGTGTGTGTGTGTGTGTGTGTGTGTGTAAAAACACAGTTTCTTTTTGTTGTTGTTCATAGATCATCAGTTTTAACAAGACTATACTTACTTAAGTTCATCTGTAAAATGGGGATAAGGGCATTTAGTTTATTTTTATGGTTGTCGTGTAAATAAAGGTGACAATGTCTGTAACGTACTTAACACAGAGATCGGTGCACAGCAAACTGCTTTAAAATGCAATTCTAGTGACGCAAACCACACCGTTATCATCTTGCAAGGTCCACTCACAGGAAGCGTGTCTTTCCCATCCTCTTCATTACCGTCGACTGGTCTCTTCTCTGTGCATCTGCAGAATCCGTAGCGATTATTATTTGAAGCATTAACATTTGCGGAGAATTTACCAACTGCCCGAACCATGCTGAGTATCACCTGTACAATCTCATTTCATCCTCCTTACAGTTGTATGAAGCAACAGAAACTGAGGTACCGAAGGGACTAAGTCGCTAAGGGTGCCCAGTGAACAAATGGGAAATGTGGAATTTGGAGGAAAATAAGAAAGCTATTTCCATAGCTTTTGCTTTTAAGCTCTGTGCATGGCCGCCTCTGCTTTTTATCATGATTTCATTCACACACTGCTTCTCCAGTTGCTCGAGCTGGCAGCTACTTGAGGGGAGATGTTTTTTTTTTCCTCTTCACGGTTTTATGATAGCATCTTGTGCCACGCCTGGCATCATTCGCGGAGGCTGAGGTAGAATGGAGCGTTGGAAATGGGGACATTTGGTTACAAAGCCAACACAGTTCAAAGATAAAGAATGTGCATGTCCTTAAAAAGATCGACAGCTTTCTTCCTTGATCCTTTCACTTGGGCCCTATTGCAAGAGGTACCTAGTCTAAGGACAGGGAACAAGAGCTGTGGTCTGGAAAGATGGAAGCTCCAGGGCTTCCCTGACCACCTCTGGTCCAGTGTAGGGGAGGCTTCGGACCAACCCGGCCTGGATGACCACCGGCCTTGCTGTGGGCTGCGTTGGACTTCAGGAAGAGGAGACGCCGGGCAGAGACTCGGTGCAAACTAATGAGATGCCCGGGCTCTGTAAGCAGACGATGAGGTGGAGCCAATGGCCTCAGTAACACCAAGCGGCTGCTTGTGCCAATGCCCAGTTTTGCATACGCAGGACACGCAGGTGCAATGCACAGAGCTTAGAAGCAAGAGCTACGGGCTTGCCAGATGGTACAAAAAGGAGGGCGGCCCGAGCTCCTGGGCTGGCCCACCAACGCCCTGATGCCCCGGCACCTGCTCTCCTGGGGACAACCCTCCCAGAGGGTGCTGCCTCTGTTCCCCAAAGCAACGCACCTATAACTGTTTCCTTTTTTTTTTTTTTTAATAACTGTGACCAAATGGATTACTCCTTTCTGCACAAGAATGTATGTCACTGTCAACATCAAAAACCTCCCTGCTTTGCTCTGGCAGCACCCGCCTTATTGATCAGGCGCCTGGCAACCACTCACTCACACAAAGCACTTAAACCTGTATGACTTCAAAAAGCAAGGTAAGGCGAGCCACCCCGGGCAGTCCAGCACACACCTAATGTGATTATTGCTCCTCTTCTTGGTGATAATAGAATTATGCAAAAGCAGCCTTGACCCAGTAAAGATTTTCTGTTCGGAATCAAATCTCTGCTCGCCCCTAACTCAAAATGCCCCCCCCCCCGGTAGCTCCTGCCCCTTCTTGCTTCCCAGCCCCTCCTACGCAGGGCGGTGTTCCCTGTGTACGATCAGGCAAGTGCCAGAGCTTCTTACCTGTGAAGTACAGCAAAGCAGTGAAAAATACAGCTAGACTCACCTTGCGGATAATTGATGAAGAAAAACATCCCTCTTCATTTATTCATCCATTCTGAAGTGTTTGTTAATCATCTCCCCTGCGACTGCAGTCAGCGTGGGTTGGGTGGCTACCTGCAATTTGATGAGTGAGGCTTCTCACGACTGTTTCAGGTCGTGTCCCTTATTTCTCATATTTCCCAAGTTGTCTGGATCAGGGGACGAGGTAGCCCTGCCGCTGGCACTGGTCATACTAATCAGTGACAGCTGTTTGACAATGACCAAAATAGAGCCCTTGGAGCAAAGATGCAGACAAGTTGTCAAGAATCAAGTAGCTCCAGGCATGGGATGTACACTTTACCGCCCCAGGTAGACTATGGCTACACCTATAAGCACCTTGCAAGGGAGGCATTATTGGCAGATTTTCTCAGCTGGGGAAATGAGATTAGGAAAGGGTAAGCCATTTCCCCAAATTCATGCCCCACCAACCAATAGAGTCAAAACTGGAGCCCAGAGGGCCTCTCTGCCTGTAAAACCTACTGCTTTTCTTCAGCTTGCATTTCACACATGAATGGCACTCATATTTTTATCACCCCTATAAGGAGACAATGGTTTTTCTAATGGGGTTGGATTATGTCATTTGGTTTTGGGATTGTTAAAAGGCAATAATATAATGATAATGCAATGAGAAGAAGATATAGGAAATGTTGGAATAACTTAAAAGTAGAAGATTCTATTAACTGTGGAACTTTTCATAGTCTTCTCTAAACACATTGAATAACATACTTACCGAAAAATATTTTCAAAAGAACAATTCTTCTTGGAGTACTCATTCCTTGGCAGCAGGCTAGAAAGGTCTCCTGTGAGTCTTGAAGAATCAGAATCCCATGCGTGAAGGTGCCCAAACACTGAGTATCTTTGGTAGCCACAAAATAATGAACTGCTATTATTCCGAACTCCTTTTGTTCACGTCTTTAGTGGTATGAAACTTCAGGATGCACATTCTGACAAAGAGTTTATAAGTTTATTTGTGAATTGGCTAAGTGATATCTTGTAAAACTACAAAAAATGTTCTTTTGGTATGAAACTTTGCACTCGTTCATTCATTCAACTAATATCTAGTCAACATCTAATATGTGTGAAATAATATTCTCACCATCAAGACCATGGTAGCAAATGGGACAGATGAGTCTTTTACAAAATCTCACTTATTAATAAAACAAACTACTCAAAACAAAACCTGCTAGCAAGCCGGGAAAAGTGTCCAGTCTTGCAGTGGTGAATAGAGTGAACTGAATGATAGCAATTAGTAGAGAGGCAATGAATAGACAGAACCAGAATATGTTTTAGAGGAAGAAGTGACAGAACCTGCTAATGGATTACATAAGGAGGAAAGGAAGGAAGATGACCTTTCGCCTTTTACCTGAGCAATTGAGTAGATGAGGGTAGAGTTAACCAAGATGTAAAATAATAGAGAGAAGAGGACTGAGGCCAAGGTAATGGTGGAATGAGTCGTTCTCTCTTGGTCGTGTTAAATTTCATATGCTATCAGATATGGTGTTGAAGTTAGTAGATACATAGAATTCAGGGGAGATGTAAGGGCTGGAGAGATAAATCTTAGGGTTATCTGTATTTAGGAGTTATTTAAAATCATTAGCTTAGATGACAACACCAAATGAGTTAATAAACATGGAGAAGAGGAGGAAGCCTTGGTCTGAGCTCTGGAACATTCCAACACTAGGGAGTAGGCAATGGAATCTATCCAATAGACCTGGCAAAGGGTGACCATGGGAAAGGAGGGAAACCATGAAGGTGAGGTGTCATGAACGTGAAATGAAGAAGGAGTTCTCAGAAGACAATGATCATGGATGCCCCCTCAGGAAAAGCCTGGGATTTATTGACTTATTCATTTTATAGCTGTACTATCAAAGTAGAACTTATTTTATGGGTATTTTGGGATCCAGGACAATAAAATTTCAGAAATTCAGACAGCTGAGATAGTAGCTGCTTGCTTTGTATTTTATGAGAATAAGGATTGCCTCACAACAAGTATTGCCAGTTCTCAAATATCTGTACACTCTATTTCCACTTTCCAATAGAGTAATCACTGAGTAAAAGCATATTTTAATCATTGCTCTATTTAGCATTGTTCTAGTTGGACTCAAGATCCCATCACCTGACTCCAAGTCAACTGATATCTTTGTTTGGAGGCTTTTCACTTATAGCAGATGCTAGCACCAACACAGCTAAAATCCATGCATAAAATCAATTGACCACTCAGGAGAATTGTTAAACTATTAAGGTTCGTGGCCTTTGTATTGAAAATAACTATTAACAAAGTATGATTAAGAACATTTTTTTCAATAATGATGATGAAATATGTTTATTGAGATATAAAAAAACTACAAGAGTTTATTACCAGATAATTGCTATTTTTTAAGCAATTATGAGAGAAGGAAAATTATTGTAAGAGAACATTTTGAGAAGTAAGATGATATGGTGCAGATAAACTAGAACAAATGGATAAATCCCTAGAAACTTGCAACTCAATAAGACTGAATTATAAAGAAATAGAAAATCTGAAAGACCCATAACTAGTGGGGAGAATTAATCAGTAATCAAAAACTTTCCAACAATAACAACAACAACAGCAACAATAAGCCTGGGACTGGATAGCTTCACTGTTGAATTCTTGTAAATATTTAAAGAAGAATTAACACCAGTTCTTCCCAACTGCTTCCAAAGAATTGAAGAGGACAGAACACTTCTAAACTCATTTTTTGAGGTCATCATTCCTCTGATACCAGAGCCAAAGATGCTACAAGAAAAGAAAACTATAAGACAATATCTCTGATGAATGCATAAACAAAAATACTCAACATAATACCAGCAAACTAAATTTAACAGCACATTAAAATGATCATATACCATGATGAAGTGGGATTTATCCCTGGGTTCAATGTACACGAATCAATTAATGTTATATATCATATTAACAGAACAAAGGACTCAAGAAATCACAAGATCATCTCAAAAGATGCAGAAAAAGCATTTGGTAAAATCCAACACTCTTGTATGAGTTTTTTATGATAAATGAAAATCTCAACAAACTTGAAATAGAAGAAAAATTACCTCAACACAAAAAGGCTTTATAAGAAAAACCTAGAGCTGACATTATACTCAATGGTGAGAAACTGAAAGCATTTCCTCTAAGATCCCAAACAAGTCATGGATACTCAATCTCACCGTTTCTGTTCAACATAGTACTGAAAGTACAAGCCAGAAAAATAGGCAAAAAATAAAAGTCATCCAAACTGAAAAGGAAGAAATAAAGTTATTTCTGTTTGCAGATCACAGGATCTTACATGTAGAAAATCAAAAAAACTTCACAAAGAAACCTGTTAAAACTAATAAGTGAATTCAGTAAAGTTGCAGGATATGAAATCTACATACAAAAATAAGTTGCATTTCTATACACTAATAACGAAAAGGAAATTAAGAAAACAATCTCATTTACAATATTAGCAAAAAGACCTAAAACACTTAGCAATAAACTTAACCAAGAAGGTGAAAGTCTTGTACCTTAAAATTACAGAACATTGATGAAATCAATTAAAGAAGATACAAATAAATGGAAAGACATCCCATGTCCATGGATTAGAAGAACTAATATTGTTAAAGTGGACCTACTACTCAAAATGACCTACAAATCCAAAGCAATTACTATCAGAATCTCAGTAGTATTCTTTACAAAAATAAAAAAAAATCCTAAAATTTACATAAAACCACAAAGGACACCAAATAGCAAAAGGACTCAGGAAGTGTGATGCCTCCAGCTTTGTTCTTTTTTCTCAAGAGTCCTCCTACTTATGATCTCTTCTTTTGATTAAAGAATTCCTTTTATTATTTCTTTTAATATAAGTCTAAAGGTGATTAAATTCTCTCACTTTCTATATACCTGGTAGTATTTGTATTTTGCCTTTATTTATGCAGGATATTTTCACTGGGCACAGAATGCTAAGTGGTTAGTTTTCCCCTCTTTTCCATATCTTTAAATGCACTATCCACTGTCCTAAGACTTACATTGGTTCAATGAAAGAGTCAGCTAGAGATTTTATTGTAGCTATCTAAAGGTCCTTTTTCTCTTGAAATGCCTTTTCTTTGGATGCCTTTAAGAGCTTCTATTTTAGTTTAATATGAAGAAAATGTACTATGATTTGTGTAGGAATTCTTTACATTTTTCTATGCTTAGGGTTCAAAGAGATTCTTGAATGTATGGGTTGAGGTCTTCAAGTTAGAGTAATTCTTGGTCAGTATTTCCAAAAATATTTCTATCCCACATTTTTTCTCTTTCCTGTCTTTCTGGGACTCCAGTTACATTTTAGACATGATCACCATGTCTCTTATACATATGGGTCATTTTCTTTTTTTCCTCCATGCTTCAATGCATTTTTTTTTTTTTTACTAACCTATTTTCTAATTCACTAATTTTACCTTCTTCTTTATCCAACAGCTATTAAACCCATCATTTACGTTTATAATTTTAATTCTTGTAATTTTAAAACAATTTTTCGAGAAATCATCATTCTCTGATAATAAACTACTTCATCTTGTCATCCAATTTTTTGAACGTGGTAATCAGAGTCACTTTAAAGTCTATGTCTTATATATTATATTTAGATTATCTGTGGGCCATCTCCACTGCCTTCCTCGTGTCTCTGTTGTTTTCTTTTCTTTTTTTTTTTTTGTCTGTTGCTATCATTCACGATAATTATTTCCTTATTTATTTCTTGGAGGCAACAAGGAGTAAAAGAGATGGTCAGCATTATCTCAGAGAGAAGGAAAAAAGGCTTCCAGTCTATCGGAGGCAAAGTCAGGTTGCTGGAGACAAGAGTAAATTAAAGCAGAAGTAAGATTGACTTCAACCGTTTTTACTGAGTGCTTGACATTGTATATAAAGAGTGTAGAAACTTTGAATAATGTTAACTTCCGGCAGAGAGGATTGATCGTTTTTGCTGTTGTTACCTATAGGCATTTATATCAGGGATCGACGGACCCCCTTAATACAGTCAGAGAACGAGAGGCGTTGGAGCTGAGTTTCGGTTGTCATGAGCACTGTTCCATTCCTAGCTTGAAGTAGCTCTAAAAGTAGATAGCGCCTTTCGAGAATCTTCGCTGAAAGCAAGAGTGGTTTTCTCAGAACCGTTCTCCTTGCCAAGACCTGAAGGCCCATTTTTGCCTCCCCAGTACTATGGAGAGGGGTGAAATCTCCACTTAGCTTTGCAGCTTTTTGGCTGATGCTTTCCTTTTACATTCTCAGCCTCTCGTGCTGAAAATATTAGGAGTAAATAAATTCCTCAAGGAAAAAAAAAAAAAAAGAGCACAGAAAATCATGCTCACTGTTTTCCAGATCTCTTTTCTCCAGAACTTAGTTCCCTCAATACTGGCTACCTTTCTAGCCCTCAACTCCAGTTGTTTTCTTTTTTTTCCTCCCAGGCCCAGGAGACTGCTGGAAGCTCTAAGCCTTGCAATTGGGTTTGATCTCTTGTCGGGCACTGCTTACTAATTGGCAAACGCTTTCAGGAAAAAGCAGGGGAGAGAATGGTGAGCTCGCCTCAAAGTTGTTCTTTTCTCTTGGATCTTAGCCTTTCAAGTTCCTGCTGACTTCGTTGCTCTCTGATTACTTCAAAAAGATACTTTAAAGAAATTTCATCCAGTTTTACATTTTTTTTGTTCTTGGAGTGAGAGTTGGTCTGCTACAGCTATTAACTGAGATAAAAACAAAAATTAAGAAGGATAATGTTTTTTATATAAAATTCAGAATTCCCAGCTTCTCTTAAAAAAAAAAATTAGAACACCAGGTCCACATTCTTGCATGAAAATAATGGCTTGAGGCAAGTAGTCCTTGTCCTTTTAGTTTCAGTTAGCTGCCGTCCGGGTCTTTTTACTTATCTGTGCTAGTAATGAGAGGGCCGTAATCAAGGTTGGAGTGACACGATACCCAACTGTGCTGTGGACAAGCAGAGTCAAAGGTGATGTGAAAATGCAAAGCCAGAGAAGTGATGGGAAAACTGGAAGATTATTATATCATGGAAGTTGAGGACCAAACTCCGACTCTTTTTCTTCTGCCCAAATTCCTTTCCAAGATGACTGACTTGGAAAGGTGAGTTATGCCTACAAATGATAAGATCACACTAAACAGGTTTCAGGTTTTATTAACCCAGTATAATGTGGATTGCTTCCTAACTTGGTTCCATGTAACATCACAAGACAGATAGAAGACCCTGCTACCTTGACTTAAGCATCCTAGTAGAGCCCTGTCTTAGCTCAAGCATTCCTTGCTACTGACTCCAGTCCTTTAGACAAAGCTTAACTCTTTCAATCAATTACCAACTAAAGAATCCCTGAAACCCACCTATGACTTGTAGGCCCCAGCTTTGAGACGTCCCGCCTTTTGGGGCCAAACCACTGTGTGCCTTCCACGTGTTGATTTGTTGTTTTACCTGCAATTCTGGCTCCATGAACATATAAAAACTGATTGAAACCCAGCTGCCTCAGGTGCGTGTTCTCAAGACCCCTTGAAAGCGTGTTTCCCCGGGGCCACCGTGGCACACATTCAGCTTAGAAGAAACCTCTTTCGATTATTTTACAGAGCTTAGGTTCTTCTGTCAACAGAGCCAAAGGAAGACAGTGTTCCAGGATGGAGGAGGAGAGCAACGGCACTGAATCCTGCTAGGGCTCAACTCAGGCTAGCACTAAATATTCTACTACGGCGAGTGATGTCAGTGTCATCGATGATCTCACAAAGAGCATTTTCAGTAGAACAATGGGAGTGTACAGCCAGGTTGGGGAGGTTTAAATCAGTGAGTCAGACATGTGGAAAATAAAGTAGTGAATGCAGATGACTAGTTGTTAAGTTTGTGACGAGAAGGCAAGAGAGAGGAAGGCGGCAGGGAAAAATACGTGGGGTTGGGCAACAGACAGCCCTATTTTACTGCCTTCCTAGCGCATGAGCCGGCCTTCCCCCACTTTCTTGCAAGATGAAATACCGCCCGGTTATGTTTTGAAGGCAAAGGAGAGTAAAAGAGCTGGTCAGCATTTCCACACCTCAGGGAAAAAGGAAGCAAGGCTCGCAGGGCGGTCTGGAGGCTAATTTGGGTTGCTAGAGCAAAGAGTAAATTAAGGCAGAGAAAAGACTGACTTTGCCCCTTCCCCTGACCTGAGGAGACGCGGCATGGTATGAAGTCATCCCTCTCCCTGCCTGCAGAAGGGGCGACAGTCAGAAGACAGAGCACAAAGGCTGCCTGCCTTTCCTTTTCAAAAACAAGAGGAGGGCTGGGACATTTTCCCCGTAGCTTCAGGGATCTGTTAATTGGCTCCCCAGTAAAATTACAGAAGCAGCCTGCCTGATAATGATTGTAAATGACAGGGACGATCAGGTTTACCTTGTGAGGTCCCCAGGGGACTTGCAGCTAGTTTAGTCTGAACTTAAGCATCAGCTGCTCGGGTTCCTGTCTTCTCAGCACGCGGTGGCTGGGCTGGTCCTGTAGTCTTTCAAACCTAATTAGTGTTAGGGCCTTTCTCCCTCTCTCCCTCCCCTCCCCAGCGGCCCTTCCTCCTCCTCGCTGCCGCCCTTCCTTCTCACTTCCCAGTGCTCCCAAGGTGCAAACCGTGGAGCTGAAGCCAGATTACTTTCAGAGCTTGAGCTCTTCTGTCTCTTGGGCCTGGAAGAAATAACTTAGGTTTTGAGCCATAGGTTATTGTTCCTGCAGGAAAAAAAAAAAATACACCAGCCTCATTGAACTCCAACCTCCCTTAACCCCTTTACAGTTTGAAGGTACTCAGCTTGAGCATTTTATCATTAATTAGAGATGTTTGGAACACACTGTAGGTCTTAAATTGAAGTTAACAGGCCAAATAGCAAAGTACTGGGGGAGGTAGTTTTTATTAAAACTAAGCCCGCAGATCTTTTTAATTTCCAGAAACTACTATGTGTGTGTTTATATTTATATCTGTGTATATCTACGTATTTATACATATGTATATGTGAATGTATAAAAATGGCATACATGTATGACACATATAACATATGTATTGCATATACACATATGCACATGTATACATTCCTCGAAAGCCTGTTTCTTAAACTTTAATGCGTGAACCATTTATAAATCTTGTTAAAAATGTTGATTCGAATTCAATAGTTCTGCGGCGATAGAGTCCACTCTCAGGTAATGCAGATGTCGCTGGCCGGGGCCGGCATTTTGAGCAGCAGTCTCAAAGAGATTTCATGTACCGCCCCCAGCTTCCTCTTAACCCAGTCGTCCTATTCCTCCATTCTGTTCCAACATTGCTCCAGGATTTCATTAGGCCACCTGAACAAAGGAGTCCATTGCATAGAGGACAGTTCTGCTTTTTCTCAGAATAACAAGTGGTTAGCTATTGCCTAAATCAGACTCTTGGTTTGTGGCCCGGTTTCGTGTCCCAGCCAAGCATGTTGGGAAATGGCTGATGCAAAATCCTTTTATCTTTCTGTCAGTTCACGCTGCTATTCTTTCTCTAATTTGCTAAATTCAGCAATTACTCATTAATTTTTAACCTTTCATTCATTTCTACATATGCATCGAAAGTTATAAATTCACTTCTTTCTGCTAATTTGCATGTACATTTCATTTTTTTATTGTAATCATAACACATAACACAAAACTTACCATTTTTAAGTGTACAGTGGTGTTAACTATATGCACATGGTTGCGCAACAGTTCTTGAGAATGTTTTCATCTTGCAAAAGTGAAACTCCATACCTGTTGAACAATGTCCCTTTTCCCCCCTACCCCAGCCACTGGCAACCACCATTCTACTCTCTGTTTCAAAGAATTTGGTGACTTTAGATACCTTATATAAGTGGAATCATGTAGTATTTACCTTTTTGTAGCTGGCTTCTTTCACTTAGCATAGTGTCCTCAAGGTGCTTCTGTGTTGTAGCATGTGATAATATTTCCCTCCTCAGTAAGACTGAATGGCATTTCATTGTATGTGGATAGCACATTTTCTTTATCCATTCACTTGTAATGGACATTTAAGTTGCTTCCACCTTTTGGCTAATGTGAATAATGCTGCAATGAACATGAGTGTGCAAATATCCTTTCAAGACCATGTTTTCAATTTTTTTTTTTTGATAAATACTCAGAAGTGGGATTACTGGACTATATGGTATTTCTATTTTAAATTTTTTGAGAAACCACCATACTGCTTTCCATAGTGGCTACATCATTTTACATTCCCACCAACAGTGCACGAGGGTTCCAATTCTTCCACATCCTTGCCAACACTTGTTACTTTTTTAATTGACACATAATAATTGCACAAATCTATGGGGTATATAGAAATGTTTTGATACATACAATGTATGGTGATCAAATCAGGGTATTAGCATATCTGTTATATCAAGTGTTAATCATTTCTTTGTGTGGATTGAAAACATTCAAAATCCTCTGTTACAGCTATTTGAATGTATGTAATAACTTATTGTTAACTATAGCCATCATTATAGCCATGTTAACTATAGCCACAGTGCTATACACACTAGAATTTACTCCTCATAGGTAGCTGTAATTTCATATTCTTTAACCAATTTCTCCCTATTCACCCCTTCCCTTCCCAGCCTCTAGTAATAACTATTCTGCCCTACACTTCTATGAGATCAACTTTTTAAAATTCCACATATGAGTGAGAACATGTGGCATTCATTCTTCTGTCCCTGGTGTATTTCAGTTAACATGATATTCTACAGGCTCCTTTATGTTGCTGTGAATAACAAGATTTTATTTTCTTTATAACCGAATAGTATTCCACTGTGTATTATACCACATTTTCTTTATCCATTTTTTGGCGATGGACACTTAGGTTGATTCTACATTCTGGCTTTTGTGAATAGTGCTGCAATAAATATGGGGTCCATGTCTCTTTTCAATATACTGATTTCCTTTTCATTGGAACTACACCCAGTAGTGGGACTGCTGGATCATATGGTAGCTACAGCTTTAATTTTTTGAGGAAACTCCATAATATTTTTCATAATAGCTATACTAGTTTACATTCCCAGAGACAGTGCATAAGAATTGCATTTTCTCTCCACCCTCACTGGCATTTATTATTTTTTTTGCCCTTTTTGATAATAGTCATTCTAACTGGAGTGGAATGATATGTCATTGTGGTTTTAATTTGCATTTCCCTGATGATTAGTGATATTGAAATATATGAATATTGAATATGAATATTCAACATATGAATATATTGAAAATATATTCCATATATTTTTTGGCTATTAGTGTGTCTTATTTTGAGAAATTTCTATTCAGATCATTGGCACATTTTTAAATCAAATTTTTCCTATTTTACTATTAAGTTATTTGAGTCTCTTATATATTCTAGATATGAATCCTGTCTTGAATGAATTGTTTGCACATGTTTTCTCACATTCTGTAGGTTGTCTTTTCACTCTGTTAATTATTTCCTTTGCTGTACAAAAACTTTTTAGTTTGATATAATCCTATTTGTCTACTTTTGCTTTTATTGCCTATGCTTTTGAAGGCTTATTTATAAAATCTTTTCCCAGACCAATGTCCTGAAATGTTTCCCCCATGTTTTATTCTAGTTTTATAGTTTTGGTTTCTATATTTAAGTCTTGAATCCATTTTGAGTTCATTTTTGTATAAGATGAGATATAATGGTATATTTTTACTCTTCTGCATATGGATATCCAGTTTTCCCAGCACCATTTATTGAAGTGACTCTCCTTTCCATAATGAATGCTCTTGGTGCTTTTGTCAAAAACTAGTTGTCTGTAAATAGATGGATTTATTCCTGAGTTATTTATTCTGTTCCATTGGTTTATGTGTTAGCTTTTATATCAGTTCCATGCTGTTTTGTTTACTATAGAATACATATAATGTGGTGCACTATAGTTTGTATTATAGTATATTTTAATATCTGGTACTGTGATGCTTTCTTCTTTTTGCTAGATTTGCTTTAGCTATTCAGAGTCTGTTGTGGTTCCATATAAATTTTAGAATTGTTGTTTATGTTTCTGAAAGAATATCATTGATTGGGATTGAATTAAATCCTGTAGGTCAGTTTCAGTAGTATGGCCCCTTAAAACCTATTAATTCTTTTTTATCCCTGGAATAAAACCCAATTGATCATGGTGTGTTTTCTTTTTGATGTGCTGAATCTTTTGGATTCAGTTTACTAGTATTTTATTGAGGATTTTTAAATCTGTGTTCATCAGAAATATTAGCCTGCAGTTTTCTTTTTTTGTTATGTTTTGGTTTTAGTGTCAGGATTATGCTGGCCTTGTGGAATGAGTTTAGAAGAAGTCCCTCCCCTTCTATTTTTTGGAATAATTTGAGAAGATCTGGTATTAGTTCTTTCAAAGTTTGGTAGAATTTAGCAATGAAGGCATCCAGTCTTGAGCTTTTCTTTGTTGGGTGACTTTTTATTACTTATTTGATGTCATTATTCAATACTGGTCTGTTCAGGTTTTATATTTCTTCCAGGTTCAATCTTGGCAGGTAGTATATATCCAGGAATTTATTCATTTCCTCTAGGTTTTCAAAGTTGTTGGCCTATTGTTCATATTAGTCTCTAATCATCTCTTGTGTTTCATCATTCCTTTTATCAGTTGCAAAGTCTCTTTTTTAATTTCTGACTTGCTTTATGTGGGTCTTCTCTCTTTTTTCCTAGTTAATCTACCTAAAATTTTGTCAATTTTGCTTATCTTTTAAAGAAACAACTTTTCATTTTGTTGATTATTTTGTTTCAATTGTGTTTATTTCTACTCTCCTGATCTTTATTCTTTCTTTCTTTCTACTGATTTTGGGTTTGATTTGCACTTATTTTCTAATTCCTTGAGGTACATTATTGGGTTATTTATTTGAAATATTTCTATTTTTTTGATACAGACATTTATTTCTATAATTTTATCTCTTAATTCTGCTTTTTATGAGTCCATAAGTTTTAGTATGTTGAATTTCCTTATTACTTTGTTTCAAGGAATTTCTAAATTTTCTTCTCAATCTCTTCATTGACCCATTGGTCATTCAGAAACATGTTGTTTAATTTCCATGTGTTTATATATTTTCTAATGTTTCTGTTGTTACTGATTTTTGGTTTTATTACACTGTGGTCATAAAAATACTTGATATAATTTCAATATTTTTTTAAAAATTTGAGACTTGTTTTATGTTATAGCTTGTTTTATGCCATATTGTCAAACTCAGGGAATGTTCTATCTGCTGATGAAAAGAATATGTACTCGGCATCCATTGGTTGAAATGTTCTGTAAATATTTGTTAGATCAATATGGTCTATGGTGCAGTTTAAATCTGAAGTCTCTTTTTTGATTTTCTGCCTAGATAATCTGTCCAGTGCTGATAGTGGGCTGTTGAAGTCCCCAACTATTACTGTATTGGAGTCTACCTTTCCCTTTGGATATAATAATATTTGCTTTCTATATCTGGGTGCTCTGGTGTTGAGTGAACATATATTTACAATTGTTATATCCTCTTGCTGAATTGATCTCATTATTACATAATGTATTTCTTTGCCTCTTCTTATGTTTTTTACTTAAAGTATGTTTTATCTGATATAACTACTGCTCACTTTTGGTTTTGGTTTGATATTCTGTGGATTATCTTTTTCTATGCCTTCACATTGAATACATGTGTCTTTACTGGCAAAGCGAGTTTCTTGTCAGCAGCATATAGTTGAGTCTTTTTATTAAAATCAATTCAGCCAATCTAAATCTTTTAACTGGGGGAATTTAATTCATTTATATTCAAAGTCATTATGAGGTAAGGCCTTATTCCTGTCATTTTCTTAATTGTTCTCTGATTGTTTAGTATATCCTTTGTTTTCTCTTCCTGTCTTATTGCTTATCTTCACAGTTTGGTGGTTTTCTGTGGTGATAAGATTTCATCTTCTTTCTTTTGCATATCTACTCTACCACTAAGTTTTATAATTTCATGTGTTTTCATTATGGTAGTCATTGTCTTTAAAATTCCAGATATAGAAGGCCCTTATACATTGTTTAAAAAAACCAGTCTAGTGATGATGAATTCTCTTAATTTTTGTTTGTCTGGGAAAGATGTTATTTCCCCTTCCTTTCTAAAGAATAGCTTTGCTAGCTGTAGTATTTTTGGCTGATAGTTTTTTTTTTTTTTTCCTTTTATCACTTTGAATATTTTATCCTATTCTCTCCTTGCCTGTAGTGTTCTTGTTGAGAAATCTGTTGTTAGTCTAATGGGGATTTCCTTATACATGACTTGACACTTTTTCTTTGCTGTTTTTAGAAATTTCTCTTTGTCTTTGTCTTTTGACATTTTGACCATAATGTGAATGAAGAGGATCTGTCTAGGTTAAATCTATTTGGAAGTCTTTGAGCTTTTTGGATCTGGATGTTCATCTCTCTCCCAAGACTTGGGAAGTTTTCAGCTATTATTCCATTAAATAGATTTTCTAGGCTCTTTCCCTTTTAGTCTCCTTCTTAAACTTCCATAATGTGAATGTTTATTTGCTTAATGATGTCCCATAAGTTATATAAGTTCCTTTATTTTTTTTTTATCTTTCTGGATTATTTCAAATATCTGTCTTAAATTCAGAAATTTCTGCTTAGTCTCATCTGTTGTTGAAACACTTGATTGTATTTTTTATTTCATTCCTTGAATCTTTAGCTCTAAAATTTCTATTAGGTTCTTTTTTACTATATTTAACTCTTTGTTTAATTTCTCTTTCAGATCAATTGTTTTCTTGATTTTGTTCAATTGTCTATCTTATTCTCTTATATCTTACTGAGTTTCCTTAAGATTCCTTAGGATTATTATTTTGAATTCTTTTTCTAGTATTTTGTATATTTCCTTTTGTTTGGGGTCTTTTATGGGATAATTATTTTCTTTATTTGAAAGTGTCATGTTTCCTTGTTTCTTGTGTGTGTGTGTGTGTGTGTGTATGTGTGTTCCTACATTGATATTTATGCACGTGGTGAAACAGTCACCTCTTTTAATATTATGGAGTAGGTTTCATAGGGAAAGATTAATTCCTATAGATGGTTCCTGTGGTGTCAGTTGGGCGGAGTGCATTGGCTTTGGTTCTGAGTAGACTCAATAGTGTAGTCACCATGCACTTTTTTTTTAAATCTGTAATTCACTTTAGTTATGTTTTCAAGTGATAAGTGTGTTAGTTCATGGGATTGTGATGGCAGTGGCATGGCTTTGCTGGGGTGGGTTCACCAGGCTATTTCTCAGGTCAGGAATGCATGCATCCACACATGGAATCATCTTGGGGCCTGATTTGCCAGAGTTGGGCCGCCATACTGATTCTCAAACCAGGAGTGTGGTGCACAGGGTAAGTAAGCAAGCTTGGGGACTGGCTTGCCATGGGTGGGGCTGTTACTCCAGTTGGTGGCATAGGCTGTTATTGCTCAACTGGCTTATGGCTTGTCTGCCAGGGAAAATTCTGCCTGGCTGTATCTCTGCTTGGGGGTCGGGCATACAGCTGCTTAGCTGTCCTGGAGGCATGTCCACTGGGCTGTTTCTCAGGCTGAGGATATGGCTATGCAATAATTCAGCCAGCTTGGGGTTGGTTTTCCTGCTATGCAGGGCCAGAATCACAACCATTCCTGAGCCCAGGCTCTGAGTATCTGGGGTCATGGAATTAGAGCCATTCATATGGGCTTGGTGGAGAAAGGGTCTTGCTCTTGCTCAGGCTGGTCTCTAACCATTGGCCTCAAGTGATCCTCCCACCTCAACCTGCCAAAGTGCTAGGATTACAGGCGTGAGCCACCATGCCCAGCCAGAGTTGATTTCTTTACAACCAAACCCTAACTAATACAAATTTTCATTTCCTTTGGATGCATGTTTTTGTTTTTCTTTTAGTTTATTTCCTTTCTTTTATTTGTATGTTGGGAGGCATAATGCCTACAAGTCCTGGAGTCAAATAAACCAAGTTTGAATGTTGATTTGATCACTTTCTAGATAAGCACCATAATTTGGCCTAAAAATGTATTTGTTATTTATCTGAAATTCAAATTTAACTGGGTTTGTTTATTTTATCTGGCAACACTATTTGTGACATAGTTTCTTCCTTCACAAAACAAGGGTAATAATGCCAAAGCAGCAAATATGTTGTTGAAAATTTCAAGAATCTCATAAACTTTGCATAAAACAATTTATGGGAAATATGGCTTATTATTTTCTTTCCTTTCCTTTTTATACCTATATCATATGTATAATGCAAGAAGGCTTTGCTTACAAAGCTCATCAATATAAGATCACCAAGTGGGAGCAAAGACTTCCTAGATGCGCTGAACGTGTGTTTACTATGTTAACAGAGTAATGTCTGGGTGAAGTGACTTAAGGTTTAGAGAGCAGTGGATTGGTTTGCTTTGGAATATGGTATGGGAAATGTTTTATCTTTTTAATACAATTATGTCTCTATTACTGGATTAGAGAATTTGGAAGGTTACATATTTCAATTAACCTGACTTCACTGAGGTACCCTACCCCAGGATACTCTTATATTCATTCTAATTAAGCACCTACTATGTGCCAAGCATATACCCAGATTTTACAGAAAAATTAGTTTCAAGTTTCAAGCAGCATATCCCCACCTGGTCTTTCTCACCTTCTACAAAAAGATGAAATAATAAAAAATTTGAGGGGGGGAAAAAAAGGAAATATGTACTAGTTTACTTTTTGCCTGTTCTGGGAGAGAAAAAAATAATATTCTTAATTTGGAGGGCTGGAGGGGCTCTTTACTTCTTATCTCCTGTGTCTAAATCTTTCTTATTTTTATCTTGATTACTCATATTCCTTGACTAAGGGGATCCACCCAGGACTGGAGAACTTTTTAAATGCAGCTCACACTAACACGTTTTCTGCTCAAGGGGAACAGAAAAAGGAACTTTTCTTACAGAGGAGGCATCTATCATATATTTCTTTATTTATCACTCAAGATCCAGTGGGATTAGATTAGGCTTTTGTCTCTTCCAAAACAGTGTGGCCTTGATAACCAACCACAGAGCAATCTGTACAAAAGTGGCCTGCTTCCATTTTCATTTTTCTTGTTCAAAGTTCCCATCTCTGCAGATGCCTTTGTAAGCAGCAGAAGTAGAGGAGCTGGCGGAGAATGTGGGCAGGTTTTAATTTGGCTCTGAATGTGGGGAGGTGGCCTCCTCTGTGCTTTGCTTTCTTGTGGAGGTGTCCTCCTCTGTGCCTTCCTTTCTATTTCTTGTGGAGGTGTCCTCCTCTGTGCCTTCCTTTCTATTTCTTGTGGAGGTCCTCTCTTGCTCCTTTTCTTATTTCTTGTGGAGGTGTCCTCCTCTGTGCTTTCCTTTCTATTTCTTGTTTTCCCATTTTCACTGTCGTTCACATCATCATTTCCTAGAGGCATCTGGGGTGGTTCAGGCTTGTTCACAGTACCCTGAAGCAACATCATTTGCTTAGCTACGGAAAGGAAGTCAGTCATTGGCTGAAAAGACTGGACTGGTGGTGATGTAGACTTGCCACTTTTGGAAGGGTCATCTTTACCTGAATTGGCCTCTGGTGTCAGTGACACTACATTCATAGTTTCATATTGATTTGGAGGCGAATCAACATCATTCTTCTTATAACAAACAGTGTTGAAAGGGATGGCACAAAACACGAAATCCGAGGGCAGCAGCTTGAAGTCGTTGTCTGGCCGGGTAATCACAAACCTGTGGGACAAGGAAAAGATGAATTCTGAGCCTCTGCAGCTAGGACGGTACAGCTTTAGGTAATGGCCCCAGAAAGAGAAGTCGTTTTGCTGGGCCAAAAGAGGAAATGGTTTGTTTTGTCTTGCTTCGTTGGTTTCTGATTAATGGGAAATGTCCCTGGCATAGTGCAATAAGAGAGGTCCCAGAAGAGGAATTAGGGGGTTGGCTTCCTCCCATGTCTCTGAACCCAACCACATGTGACCTTAGGCACGACATCTCCCTCCTCTGGGCCTTGCTATTCTCATTGTTTTAACTGGAAGGGGCTCAGACCATAGCCTGGACTGGTTGATAGCGAATAAATGGCCTTTCTGACTCCAGGTTTATCTACTTTTTAAAATTTTTTTTATTTCAGCATATGAGGGTACTAATTTTAAGGTTTCAAAAAATGCCTTTTCCCCCTCTCCCCCTACAAGTCTGAGTTTCCAGCATGACCAACCCCCAGACGGTGCACATCTCACTCAGTATGTGTGTATACCCCCGCCCTCCCTCCCCCATCCCACCTGTGCAATACCCTATTACTATAGTTCCTATGTGTCCACTTAGGTGCTGCTCAGTTAATACACGTTTGCTGGTGAGTATATGTGGTGCTTGCTTTTCCATTCTTGAGATACTTCACTTAGTAGTATGGGTTCCAGCTCTATCCAGGAAAATACAAGAGGTGCTATATCACCATTGTTTCTTAGAGCTGAATAGGTTCATCTACTGAACTGTCTCTCTTCCCCTCCTGCCCTTTACATGCATGTCCCCAATCCGATCTTCCCCACAGCTGTCAGAAGGACCTTTCTTGACATTGAAATCTGAACTTACGCCCCCATGATTTATATCTACAAAGCACAGTTGCTGGAAAGGAAGCACTCGGTCCATATCTACCCAATGATTCCAGCAGAAAACAAGCAAATCTTTCCACTAGGCAGTGGCTTTCAGCTTTAGAAAGTTCTACACATACAAATAAGTTGCAGAGGAGCCCCAATTTAAAATCTAGGCCCACGTTTCAATTTTCACTGGGGGCAGAGACTCCATTCTTCATTCACGGCCACTATTAATTGGACCCTAATCATTAGGATTCCTCCTGTTTATACTCATTTTTCCTTATTCCTACATCCCTATTTGTTTCCCCTGAACTTCCAACTTCTCTCTCACGTTGAATAAAGCAGCTTTGGTTCTGAGGCTTGGATGGGTGATTAGCACTTTCCAGACTAGCATACTCCCCTTTTGTGCTCCGGGTTCATGTCCCCTTCTTCTATCACGCGGTATAAGCCAACACACAGGATTCCGTAAAGATCTAATGAGCCACAGAACAGTTGTCCAAAGGTGTTTCTTGGCTGGGGAGAAAAGAGAAAAGCATATGTCTGCTGGGCACTTTGATCAAGGAATGACAAGCACTTACTGGAGTGTCATCTGCCTTTTCCGGCGGTAGTAGAAGTTTGGAAGCTCTGAAAGCCATTCCCTAATTATCTATATGGTGGCAGTGTCAGCTTAGGACTCGGAGTCCCAGTGATGGTTTTTTTCATATTCTGGCTCTTTCAAGAGCCTCTGGTGGGTGTGATGTGGCACATGGTTGTGCCTGTTCTAATTCCTACCGCTGTTTTGGGGACCATTATGAATTAACACTGAGCAACAGGTTGGAAAATTCGGTTTTTCGAGGTATATAAGGAGCTGAGATGTTCAGCGACTCCCCGGGCATCACCCTCTGGTCTCACTCTAACGCAGATCATGGTCCCATGCACTTGTCTCCACCTTGCTCTGAGGCTGGGGCCAGCAGGGCCACTCTGAATGCCCCGCAGCTGCACGTGGGTTCAGCAAAGTCAAGAGCAAATGGTCTGTTCGGGTCTGTGAGTCCTCAGGATAAAGGACAAAGGGAGGATGAGACATAAAGGGAGAGAGGAAGGAGAAGAGCAGGGAACTGGTCTACCATCCTCTCTGCTACCCACACAAGGTTGGCAGGGGCAGTCCTCCCAAGCCAGCGTGGGGTGAGGAAGCCAGGGCCACAGACATGCAAAGGAGCAGACCACACGTTTGGAATGCTGTTTGCATCTGGAATTCAAATACACCATACACAGGACTCGCCCTTTTGAGCAGCACATGGCAACGTGCTCCGGGTGCAGGGGCCTGGAAGAGTGGGCTCGCTGCGAAGGGGGGTGCTCCTGACACCTTCTGAACTGACAAAAGCTGTCCCCTTGTGAAAACCTGCCCTGCCCTGACGCTGGACTGCTGCACGTAATGACAATCACAACGAAAGCGGACGGTGCCACACTGACCGGTGGGTCACTCGTTCCCGGGCCAGACTCTGCTCCGATTCCCAAATGCCCCGTTGGTGGCTCATTAGAATTTGTCAGAATCTGCTGTTTACCAGCTCTCTGGCTAATAAAATTCAAGCATTTTCTACTGGCTGGTACAGCCAGATTCTTAGATCCAAACATAGACTCACCCTGCCTGATTTCAGGGGATCTGATCAGATTTCTTTAGCATTTCAGGGTCAGGGAGAGTAGCCAAGCAGACTCGAGGTCAGACTGCCTTGGATGGACCCCGGCTCTGACACTGGTTGACAGTGTGGCCTCGGGTACATCCTTGCTTCTGTGGGCCTCAGCTTCTTGATCTGTTAGATGGAGTTAATAATAATGCCCGCCACGTAAATCCTTGGAAATATTAAGTGAAATAACTAAAGGAGACAGGCACAGAGAAAATACTCTGTAAACATTAGCTACTATAATTATTTTTTTTTTTTTTTTGAGACAGAGTCTCGCTTTGTTGCCCAGGCTAGAGTGAGTGCCGTGGCGTCAGCCTAGCTCACAGCAACCTCAAACTCCTGGGCTCAAGTGATCCTTCTGCCTCAGCCTCCCGGGTAGCTGGGACTACAGGCATGCGCCACCATGCCCCGCTAATTTTTTTTTTCTATATATATCAGTTGGCCAATTAATTTCTTTCTATTTATAGTAGAGACGGGGTCTCGCTCTTGCTCAGGCTGGTTTTGAACTCCTGACCTTGAGCAATCCGCCCGCCTCGGCCTCCCAAGAGCTAGGATTACAGGCGTGAGCCACAGCGCCTGGCCTATAATTATTTTTAATACCCTTGTCAAGGTGCAAAGTTATTGGGCCTCTCTGATGCCTCCTGCAAATTTGAATTATTTACCTGGAAGGTGGGGAGAATAACAACTGCTTTATACAGTGCCCGGGTGTGTTGCAAAAGCTGAATATAGCAGGTGGGTGCACTGTGATTTGTAAAATGCTCCGTGAGTATGAAGTTGTGTTCCTTTTTGGCCATCCTTATTATTTCTGGGTTACATGAGTCATCTGTGAACCCAAATAGCTTGGACCATTTTCAGAAACCCTGAGAGGGAAGGAAGGAGGAAGCTCTGTGAAGGTAAGAGGAGACTCACTTGAACATCTGATAGAATGGTCTGGTGTAAAGGCAGGAGCCCTAGCTTACACCGAGTCCTCCCGGACATGACTGTCACGCAGTTATCATTTATTCCGTAGAACTTCTCCTTATCCAGATGGTGCTCCAGCTGGGAGCTTATCCCTCCTGTCACCAGCATCTGAAGTAATTCCAGGACGTGATAATTGTAGAAGGCCTGGGAAAGCAAGGACAGGCCACGTGCAAAGTCAGAAGAGCCAGCATGGGAAAGGCGGGTGTGTGTCGACTTGGAGTTGGGGTGGGTGTCGCTGTTTAAAATGGACCCGAAGGCGCAGAGCAGTGTCTCCCATTATTGTCCCCCAATTCAACTAGAAGCTGGAAGTTTGGGTAGGGGTGCTAGGTTAGGCAAAGTGCAGAGAAAGTAATACTGACCCTCCCCTTTCCTGCTTCCCTGGAGGATGCATTGTAGAAGAAAAAGAAAGCGGATAATGACACTAATACTAACGATTCCGATTCCACTCTTTCAACACTGACCAGAGGAGTAAGTCAGGCCACAGATACCCTAATAATCCTCAATGTATATATTTTAAAATATATATATATATTTAATCTGATTTCCTATAGATTTTCCTCCGGGGGAACTACTGATATCATTGTCATCTATACTTGAGTCTTCTGGGTGTAAATCTACTTAAAATCCTTTTGATTGTGACCCACGTGAGGAAAGCTACTGACTTAACTCTTATTAATATGTGGATTTCCCAAAGCTCTTATTGTGGACTTTAGCAATTGTGGGAGCCAGATAAATAAATGCATGGGGTTTTAGAATCTTTGGCATCAAAATGCACCCAGAGGAGGACATGTGGACCAACTTCTTATTTTGAAACAAGCTTGAATCTGAATAATCCTAGTTATTTTCCATAAACTCCCTTTCTCTGGGCTTCCAAACACATTCAGTGTAGACTAGGCATCAGTATTTATGCAAATGTCATCATAATATATTACTCATCGGGTTTTTCTTCAAATCTATTGAAAGTAAAATATTTTTAATTTCCCACTTTTTGTCTTATCTAAATTAGACTTTGCTACGCTAGAAATGAGAATTTCTGTTTTTGTATATTACCTGCAGAGAAAGCAACGACTCTGTTTTTGTAATAAATAATGGGATGGATTAGGTTGTTTATTGTTCTAGAAATGTTATCATTCCTTTTCTCTAATCCCAAATTCAGGGGCTTGTCTTTCGAAGCCTAGGTTATTACAGGGACCTCTTTATTATTATAGTTTTCCTGCCTTGATTTTCTTTTCATCTGCAATCCTTTGCTTGCAGCGCTTCTGTTGTTTGCGATTCTCCAGGAACACAAATCAGACCATGCTGGGCACGGCCTGAGACCCTGTGTATCCGACTGTAAAACCAAGTCCACATTCCTCACTGTGGCCTTCAAATCCTTCATGATCCACTACAACCTCACCCCTTGCAGGGGTGCCTCTCCCCCATCAGGTGTTCCCACCAGTGCACACCAATCTGTGTAGTTGCTCAAGGTCTCCTTGATGCCTTTGCTTTTGGGCATCCCATTCATCTCCCATCCGCTTGGTGACTCTTCCCTGGGCCTCTGCATCAGGATGAAGTTCTTCTTTCGTTGTGATTCCCATGGCTGCTGGCTTTTGATATGCCTCATTCTTTTGCATTTTATGGATGAAACAGACCTGAGTGTGTACCTTGGACTATCATCTTTTAGTCGGGTTTCTGCGGTAAATTCATGTATTTATTTATTTATTTTTTTGAGCAATAGTTTTCTAATCTTTAAAGTGGACGTGGTAACACCCACCTGCTAGCATTGTTTGCAGTGTTGAATGAGATAGGCTGCAAACGTCACTGCATTCTGCTTTCTTTGTCATCGGTTCTGATGTATCTGGACCATCTGGAGTGATATTATTAACAAGTGCAGATTTCTGGGATCCCAGACCTCCTGGATCAGAATTTGTGGACAAGACTGGGAATCCGAATTTAAAGAGCACTCCAAGTGGTTCCGCCCCTGGTGGTCCTTAGATAAGACTGAATAGCACTTCCATAAAATGCTGCGTTGCTTCAGAAGATAGACTTCGTCTACTTTACAGTCATGTCCTCGGTCGTGCATTGAACAAGGCAGGTGTTTGGAAGCTGCAAGAATATTGACTTTGACAATAGGCAGGTGTTTTTTGTTTTTTTTTTTGCAAATAAACAAATATTGCTAGTAAAACAGAGGTGATTGGGGACAAGTTGACCTAAGGGAAAAAAACGTAATCCATATGGATTAAGAGAAAATATAATAAAATAATTTCTACAATTTTATTTTTCAGATTGGAAGATGACTTCACCTTTGTCTCCAGACTAAAAGAGTCTCTGGGGTGATGGCTCCCTCCTCTCTGTTATATCTCACCACCGCCCAGAGGGTGATTATGGAGTCAGGTCCCTGACATCTAGGGGGGAGAGGAGGATCAAATCCAGCTTGAGCCATGATCGGTTTAAGGACATGTGGTCATAGTGTACAGTGATCAAACATAATACTCTTAGAATAATTCTCCACCGATTAAAGAAAAGGTGTAAATTCCAGGGTTATCCTGGTGTTGGTGGCTCTAGGAAACATGATTTACATATTTAACTAAGAAGAAGCTTAGCTTTTGAATATATCATTTCTTCAGTTTTGACATCAAAAGGATTGCAATTCTATATTGAGGAACATAATGGGATTTATATGTCAGCTTTATTCTGTGAACTCATCTCCTATTCTCATGATCTGGGTTCTCTGGTATTGACCTTTCTCAACCTCTTTCTTTCTCTACTTTTTCTTTTCTTGTTTCCCCTCTTTCTTCCCTCTTTTCCTTCTTTCCTTCCTTTCTCCCTTTCTCTTGCCCTCCTCTCTTTTTTTTTTTTCTTTCTCAAGAAAATCTGTAAGTCTAAAATGTGCCTGAAATATTTTCAGCCTTCTTAGCTTAGACAGTGTTTCTAATATCAGAATATTTACCAGAGCTCGGACTTTCAATGTTAGAGAATGTTGCAGCCCGGAGTGTTTTATCTTTTAGCTTCAACGAATCTTGAGGTCTCTCTCAATAACCTGGCATATTACTTAATGGTATAGACCCTAGCCTCTTGCTGCTTTTTCCTCTGAGAACCCCAAAAGACCCTAAGATGAAATGTTGTCTGGGAAATACTTCTCTCATTCAGAGTGAGGCTATATGGCAGGAAAACTGCAATTAACAAGTTGAGTGACCTTAGGAATGCCATGTCACTTCTGTGGGCCTCAATTTCCTTACAAGTAAAGGAAAATGCTCCCCAAGTTCATGTCTAGCTCTGAAAGTCTTTTGCTGTAAATTCATACAGGAGTCTTGCATGTGGGCCTGACCGCCTCAACATATTTTAATTTTTATAGCATTGAGCTGCTAGAAGATTAAAAGTGCATCTGAATTATACCTTACAGGCATTTTTCTTCAGCTGGAGCAGGAGTTTGTGGCAGCATACCCAGGGTACTGGAAGCCATTCTAATGTCAACTGTATCAGGAGATTTGGTGGGAAATCCCATTATTTCACATTGAAAAAAATATATATATCATAGATCTATTGGGGAATAAAATTTTTAAAATTGCATAAAAATTTTAAAACAAAACCTCAGTATTTTTAGTGGCGATGAGTTCACTGCACATTATCGTGGGCTTTGCTGCCTCCTGGGGACTTGCACATTCGTGCTCCTTGGTGTTTGTCATGGGCAATGGGGAGGGGAGTGGGAGGAGCTTTCTGTTCAGCTTTCTGAGTAAAGGAGGGAAGGACGAGCCCCGTAATATTATGAAATACAGGTTGGAAATACAGCTTGCAGGGGTTGGAGTTGAGACTGGTGTTCTCACGTGTTTTGGAAACTGTTGGAGTGTGAGGCCCCCTTTTTCCTGAAGGAGTCTGTTCTGAATGCACCTGCTGTTGCCCTTGCCCTTCTATATAGAGTGGGCATCGGGGAAAGAAAAATTCTGTGTCTAATTACAACCTCTGAGTGGCAACAAGACACAGATCTCTTGGTGCATGAAGCTCGGAAGAGCCACACCTGGAAGATGGTCTTTGGGGAAGGAAATTGGAAACCTGCCTGGGAACAGAGGAGAACGGGCTTGTGTCTCTGTTCTATCTCTCTGTTGGTCATACATTCTCAGCTCAGAGAAGTGGTTTTCAAAATCTTCTTAACAGTCAAATATCATGAGGGCACCTCCAAGATGATACAGATGCTGTGATTGGGGGGAGAAGGGTGGGTGGGCCAGGTGGGGTGGCCACGTGCTTGTTGGTCCCCCCTCTGCCTGTCTCCCCAGCACTCCCCCTGAGCACTCTGAGAGATGGATTCCTGTAAGCCAAACCTGAACAATACTGCATTGGAAGGATGGCTAATAATCACAGAAATTGATTTCTGGAGGGGCAGTGCATGCATGGTGGGTAGTGAGGTTTGACTCTGGAATCACATAAATTTGGGTCTGAAAACCAACTTTTTAATCCCATGTGATGTGACGTTAGGCAGATTATTTACCCTGCTAAAGCCTCAGTGTTTGACAGGAGAATTAAACAAGGTGACGCGGGTAATGCGCTTAGCAAAGTCCTTGGCACGAGGTAAGTGCTTGGGAGTTGTTGCTCCTCTCCCCAGGACAGATATTGCTGTTATTATTGATACTACCTCAACAACGAAGCTTATCAAAGTAAGTCGCCCAGAGGCCTGTGCTGGGTTGGACCTGGGGGGGGGAGTCTGTGGCCATCAGTGATGTCTGCCATGGGGATCTGTTGGGGGCTGGTGGGCATGGGGCCCATTGCTGCCATGCAAACTTTATGGGGGGATCAAAGCCTTCATGCCAGCCCCATGCCAGCAAGGAGATGCACCATTGTGCACGGAGGAGAACACATTCTGGAGCTGCCCTAGTGATGAGTGAGCTCTCTTCCCTGCTGAGGCTACTTCCCCGTGACCATGGGGGGCAAGATCTGGAGTCCAGCCGAGGTCAAATGGCACCCAGAAGGGAGGACACAAGGAGTTGGAGGCTTGGGCTTGACTCTCCCCGGGTTCTTTCTTTCTGAGTGAACGTGGTGGTAGGAAGTCACAGCGCCCGTAGAAGGGCAAACGGAACCAGCAGTACCAGGCCCAGAGGGGAGGAGACGAGAGTGTGGAGCATTCGCTGACGATCTTCAAGGGTGTAGTTAATTCAGCTCATCCCTTAAATAGAACTAAAACGCGCTCATTTTGCTGAGCCACGCACATCATTAAAAACTCAATCGCTGGGGCAAAGGTAAGATCTAGAGGTTCAAACTGGCACCTTTAACGCGAAGGATGCCTCCCACCCAGGTGCTCTGTCGCCACTACCGCCCCATATTCAGGTGACCGTGTGCCAGTCCCCGGTAAAGCACTTCCTGGGATTCTTAAGGATACGCCAATGGTCCAATGCGGGTTGTGACCTCATGTGACTACTCCCGAGTCCGGCCACACTAAGTGGCTTTTTCTCTCCCACGGCCTTCACCACGGGGACTCAGAAAAGACTCCCGAGATTGTATGTGGCTCGTTTTGTTTGAGGCGACATCTGAAGGCAGCCTGGGAGGGATCGTCCGTCGCTGCTCAGACTGGGCGCGGGGCCAGCTCCGTGTTCCCTCACTGGGCGCGTGACCAGAGGTGTCACCAGGCCCAGGTTCCAACGCTTGGTCCAGGACTCTTGACCAAGCCCGTGTTGCCTCTCCCGGCCCGTGTCGTTCGTTCAGTGTTTTCCTTTCCACTCTTCCAGCCCTGCTCTGTCCATCCTGCCCTTCCCACTAGCTGTCAAAATAGAATCCGTGGCTCTGTCCCGGCCTGCGTGGGCCCTGTTTAATCAAGTCTCAAGTTTAATTTAAGGCGTGAGGCTTCCTTCCCTCTGAGAATGCCCGAAGAGAACTGGGGCCTTAAACCCATCAAAAAGTGTATTCTGCAGACAGGTCAAGTTCAGCAGAAGTCACCTTCTGCCTTGACACTCCAGGCATTAATTCCAGGCACATTAATTGACACACAGGTGACAGACAATGATAGAGCACTTGCTCTGACAGAGCCACCTTCACAGAATAGAGAGCTGACTTGACTTCTGAGGCGTCCCCGCCTGGCTCAGTTAAGGCAGGGTGCTGCTGTGTAACCCTTTAGGGACCTTGTAGTCTACAGACTTGTCGAACGGTAAACTGTCACCGAAGTAGTGTTCTCTCTCTGAGAGCTCCTGGGGATTACGAGACCCCCGCCATGGCTTAGGGAGGCAGAATCAACAGGAATACAGTCCCCTCAGCACCACACAGCATCGGTGCCACCAGAGAGACACACGTGTCCAGCCACACTCTCCTAAATTCACGAGTCGTGCCTGTAGGCACCGCTGCAGCCCAGGAAAGATGCTTTTTTACATGGAGTTCCAGAAGTCAGCAAGCCCATCAAGAACCCTAACCTTCTTCTCACTACTTCATTCTCTGAATGCCCTGCAGTCGCCCATTCACCGGTGAAGACGGGCCCTTGAAGCATGGATGGAGATGGATCTTCAAGCTTCCTACAGAGCCGCCTCGGGGATAAGTTGGTTGCTGGGCTGGATGTCACTTACCCTTGGTTCTGCCTCTGGTTTCTATAAAAGTATGCACAAGTCACTGAACCCTAGAGATATTATAGAAATGTCTATGTCACAGGGCTATTGAGGGAAATAAAGGTGAAAGCATTTGTGAAGGAAGAAAAAATGCCTTGTGCATTTGAACACCTGCATGTTGTCATCCAGCCACTTTGCCACCCTTCCCTTGAAAACTCCGCTGTGGGGAGGGTCTGCTAGGTGGTGGGTAACATGCCTTGCCATCGCAGGAGTTCTTGCAGCCATTGACAAATGGCTACACAGAGGTTCCGTGGATCTTAGTCAATTTCAAATGGGCCGAACACCCTGGCAGTGCTCCTGCCTCAGCTCCTCTGCCCGGAGTGTTTCTCCCCCCAAAGCTCTCATGCCCCACGCTGTACCCTCCTGTCCTCCAGAGCCGGGCTCGCCTGCCGCCTTCTCAGTGCTGCCTTCCCTGGCCTCGCTATTGCAACCTGCACCCATTTCCCCAAACCCTGCACTTCCTATCGCATGTGCCCTTAGCCCTGGTAGCTGGCATCCCTCTGTTACTTATTTGCCGTGTGCACACCAACCCCTGCCACTAGGGCAAGCTCCACGCAGGTGGGAACGTCTGTCTCATTGCAGCTAATACTTTCAGCACCTGGAACAGAGCCCTGCCCAGAGTAGGTGTTCAATAGGCATTTGCATGACTAATTCTTTCTACTTAGGGGGATTCTGCAGCGGGAGCAAGAGATTTGCTTAGTGGCTAAAGAGGTGCTGAAAACTAAAGAGCAACCATAGTAAAAAATGTCGCCCATGGAGGAGCGATCTGGAGGGATAGTTGACTTAGCTCTAAACAAAACTCTCACCGCCAAAGGCCAGAGCTTTCCTCCCTGAACTCCCTGCATCCCTTTATGGTCAATGTCCACATGAGCTGCTGGGCAGAGGTTAGAGAAAAGAGGAAGCCGTATCTCCTGAGCTCTGAGACACCCAGGGGCCCGGGCTGCTGAGGTGCGCTTGAGGCCGAGAGGCTGGCACTCTTTGCTCCTGACAGCAGGTCTTCCGGCTCCAAGGCCTCAGGCTTTCAATCTTGAAAACGAGAAAATGTTGCTTTCCTCACCAGGTAGTTGAGAGGAAAGACGGACTAATGTGTGTGAATGAGCGTTTTGGGAAACTCAAAGAGAACTTACACTTGTGGGGTGTTGTCATCCGCTCGGCCCCAGAATGCCCACTCGCTGCTCTGCGAGGGGCTTTGGCCGTGGGAGACCCGTGGCTTAGCTGTCCTTACCGTGGCCAGGAGGGAATCCAAGAAACTGCCAGAGAAGACGGCGCCGGTAGAAAAGGAAGTGCTGAGGTGCAGGTCTGTTCCTGGCAGGGACCCTTCCACTCCGCCAAGCTGCTCGATAAAGTGGATGTTGTTAGGATTCTCTGCAAGGCAAAAGGGGCAAAGAGGAAAGGCAAGGAGACAAGGTGAGGAACGCAAGAACCGCCGCCCAAGGCAGGTCAAAGGGTGAACACTTGACCCAAGGATCTGACACCTACGTAGGAGTCTCTGGGATCTACTCCTACTTCAGTACATGTTTTTCCTTTCCAAATGTCTTCCTCCCCACCAAAGCCATGTGTCCCTGTTGGGTACCTTCTCCATCAAGGGGACACTCCTGCAGCACTGGCTCAGTTACTCCAGAAAAGTATCCTGATTGTCACACTTACATAATTTATCTTTCAAACCAGGACACTTTGGGGAGTAAAAGGGGGCACTTAATAATTGCACTGGAACAATAAGCATAAATAGGAATGTATGGCCACCCCAGTTATAGCCTTTTCTCATAATACTGTGTTGTAGATGACTTGGCATTTCACTGGGTTCCCAGAGTTATCTGAGCCTAGAGTGCGTTAGAACAGAGGCTCCCAGAATCAGTGTGCCTATGAGTCAGTGGGGATCTTTTCACGCTGCAGACTCTGATTCACTGGGTCTGGGGTGGGGACAGAGAGTCATGATCCAAGATGCTGGCCATGCTGCTGAGTCATGGACCACACTTTGGGTAGGAAGGGCCTAGAGAATCATCCTAATTGAGGCCAATACAAATTATCCATTTGCATGTCTATACTGGCCCCAGGCAACACCTCAGACCGCTGTAGCCAGCCTGCAGCAGTGAAGGGAACCAGTCTGGTTGGGCTTGAGAGCAGAGACCCTGGCTGCCTTTGTTCCTAGACTCTTGCCTCAAAATATCTGTTTAAGAACAGCATTGGAAGATAGAGATGGCATCTCCCACCAGAGCAAAGGGAAGGCTTGCTTACTGCCTGCTACAAAAGATTCTGGTTTCCTAAGGTCAGGTAGGTTCCTGTCCTACAAAGCAATCCACTGTGGGTACGTGTGTCACCGGGCCCTCTTCATGTCACCGTGTGGGAAGCAGGGCTTGGGCAACCAGCACACCCGGCCAATGTTACTGCTTTGAATAACAACTGTTTGTTTTGTCTCTGACCCGGGGGTCTTGTGTCTTCTGCCATATCCATGAGGTGGTGGCAGGTGAACTTGTTGGTCTGCAAGTAGGATGACATCGTAAACCCTTCACAATCCTTAACATGACAGTTCTTGATATTATTGATCAAAACAAATCAACTGGACATATGGCTCAGGATACACCCCTTACTGAGATTGGATTATTCCCTAATTCCTTACATTATTCCTTGGTGATTTTCAGGGAAGTGACATAGTGGTGGTACTAATGAATCATTTGCTTCTGAGAACAAGCATCATTTTTATAAAAAAATGAGCAAGGTATGACTAATATCAACCCCCATGTCTTGCGTACTGCTGCTTTCCTTTCCTTGCATTGCCAATCCTCAATGCCACCTGCCTCCCCAACACACACACACTCCACGAGCCTTGTCCCAATTTTGCTGTGTCACCCCAAACCGGCAGCCTCAGCTTTCCTACTCATTTTCCTGCAGACCCTGTCCATTCTGTAGCACACGGTGCTGGCATCAGGCCTGCAGCTCCTATGTCAACAAAACCCTTTCCAGCCAGACAAAGAACAAGAAACTGAGTGAGCTGGCAGCTGACTCATTAGGCTCATTTGACAAGGGCAGCCTGGTGCCAGACAGTCTTTAGTTGCACAAAGCCCCTAAGCCCCTGGGGAGTGACTACATGCTTCTCTGGGCCACTGAGAAGCTGGCTGACTTCCTCCCAACCACCCCAACTTAGAGTCTTCTTCAAATTCATGTATTTGGTGTATCCAGGTAGCTCTCCGTATTTTGCAGGTTTTGCATCCAAGGATTCAACCAACCGCAGATGGAAACACGTGGATATGGAGGATCTACTATACTGTGCCATTTTATGCCAGAGACTTGGGCATCAGAGGATTTTGGTATCCAGGGTCATGGAACCAACCCCTGTGGATGTGGAGGGCCACCTGTACACACCTTGGGAGTTAGGGATGGTTCAAAGGGGCAGAAAAAGATAAATAAAAAATGCAGCCAATAGCTTCAAGGTGGTTATGTTTTCCCACCCACTGCGTGGCCCTCCCAGCTCACATGGTGGTGAGACCTACTGTTCCTCTATTAAGTCTCCACTTCATTTCTATGGCTAGGAGATCTGTTCATCTAGTTTGGCATAAGTCCCACCGGCTTAGATACTCTTAATCATAAAATGTCCGTTAAGCATTTTGCTGTTTTATGGAATCAGGTCAAATCACACCAAGAACCAGCTCTAGAGATCATCTCTGAGTTGGTTCAATCTGCATTAAAGGCACCACTCCCCTCTGTTTTGGTACTTTCTCCTTTTCTCTTCAGAAATTCTTGGTGGCAAATCCCAGCGTGCCCCCTGGTGCCCCACTAATGCCTCCCACAGTGCACACGGGCACCCCTCCCTGGCTCCCTTCCCTGCCTCCTGCTCCCAGAGCTCCTCATGTGGAGGGAAGTTTCAGAAATGCTCATTTTCCATAAGGTGTTGGTGAGAGATGATAGTATATGCTGTTATTTCTTCAAAGGGTTTTTTTCCATTTTAGAAAAGCATCTCTCAGGGCTGAGGTTAAGAAGGTGCAAGGAAGGTACCTGGGACACAAAAGTCAAGGACCCCAAGCGTGAGCACCTTGCATGCCTTGCCTTAATGCTGGCCCTAGCCCTGGTGTCACTACGGGAAAGGAAGGTGTCTGACCTAAAGTCCCGTGAGAGGGCAGTTAAGTCAGTACAGGAAGACCCTTTCTAGCTGTCTTCACATCCATGTCCTCTCCCTCCAAGTCAGATGGAGCCAGTTACTATTCTCCCTCTGTCTCCAGGTAACTGAAAGAGTGGAGAAGGCGTGTGATATTCCTGCAGCCTGACACCCAGACATAACGGGCTTCGCTAGATGATGTCACCAGTTGAGTAAAAGCCAAGGGTAACACCCAGCCAAGCACTTCGGGTTCCTGGGATCCCATTCTGGTTCTTCAGTCCTTTGACTGTGGATTCTGAAAAGAACCTTGGGACATCAGTTATGCATCACAAAAATTTCTCCTCTGTTGAATCTGGCCCTTAAAACGCAACTTACTCAGTTCAGTGAGGATGGGGACTCTTCGGTGTTTTGTTTTTCCATAAGCTCCACTTAAGTAATTTGAAATATCCTCTGTAGACACAGACAAAAACAAAGACAAAAACAAAGAAGACATGAGATGATAAATGAAAACAAAATGGCTTGCAAAACTTGGTAAGAATGTAGAAGAACCTCATGCAACTTTGTGCTTTACCTTAGGAAAGTTACTCTCATGTCCAAATCCCAAATCTATTTCTATATTTAGAAAAATATATATTAATTATGCTGTCCTAAGCATCTCCTTTTGAAGAATGGGGTGTGTGTGAATGTGTGCTTTCCAAATGACACTTCATAAAAAGCACAAAACCAGCAAAGCCCTCCAAGTCGTTGCTTATTGCCATCATAACTAAGATATGATTATTCTCCAAAGACTGGTAGCAGTGGACCGTGGCTCAGTCAGGCAGAGCCTCAAGCCACATCAATTTGCTTGTAGAACTTTTAGGAAATTGTGAATAAATTGGTGGTGCTGGTCCGTGAGAGCTTCTGGAAACATTGCAACTGGCTCCAGGCCCCTGTTGCCATCTGCCTCTCTGAGCTCCTCTACAGAAGGAGGCACTGCTTTTGTCTTCTTTCTTCTCAGCAGAACGGGCTGCCGTCCCTTCTGGTTAGCCTGTCTCCACCGGGAATGCCTTTGGGTTTCTCAAGACAGGCCTGGGATGTCACCGGGGCCCTCAACCTCTGTGCTCAGTGTCTAGACCCATTTTCCTCCTGACCTAGGCAAGAAGGTACTTTGTTCACCCCTGAGAGCCTCGACTCTAACACAAAGCTAGAGCACAGGGCTAGCTTGAAACATGGCTTTGCCACGTGGAGAACTATGAAGAGTTTCAAAAAGGAAGCGTGACACTAGATTTTTGGTTTCCAAGTTGAACTAAAAATGTAAAGAAAGAAAAGGGACGAGAGAAGTGGGAAAATAGGGTACAGTTAAAAAAAAACCCTCACAATATCTCATCATAAGTTATGTTTTAAAACTATTGGTTATTTTTCTTGAACTTTTCTGAAGATGTAATAGGGAAAAATATAACATGAACGTTCAGGGTCTACTGCGCTAACCATAATTGAGATTCCCCGCTGCTTTGGAAGAAGTGAGATCTCTGGCGGGTCCTTTGTTTACTGAGCTAGGTTGGGGAGCAGGTGGGATGTGAAATGAATGTAGGTGAGTGTTGGGGGAAAGGCCACCTGAGAAATAGATGAGTCACTGAGGTGGGGACAGGCAAAGAGAGGAAATGGAAAGTTATCTGTTTCCAGAGGGGGTGCTGTGTACTGCAATATTTAACACCTCTTCCATCTCCCTGAGACATATTCAGTAGAAGAACCAAGTCTTGTTAATGCAGAGTAGAGCTCAATGTTTCTGATATTCAGCACATTTCCGAGTCATGGATATAGGATAAAAGCTGAAGCTCCATACACCATTATGGGGAAACACTCATTTGACTCCTACTTCCTGATTCTATTTCCTTGCTAGCAAAGGGCTGGGAATATCTGACTTTTAGAGTCAAATGTTATAACTGGGTACAGACACATTCGTATCAGCTGAAGCAACTGCATAAATATCTGCTTCGGATGCCCGCTGAAGGGTGGAGACTGAATTTCTGCCTTAACTCCTTCTCTTTGTAGAGCAACGGTTAATTTGAATGTGTCAGATCATAGCCTGGGTACATTTTTCTAATGTCAATATTTTTGCTACCTAATGGTACACAGTATTATACCTGAAGTCTTGCAGGCTGGCAGGGTGCTATTACAAAAAGATTGCTTAATTGTAGATTACTACCGTGCATTTAAATTTCAGTAGCATATTAAGTTGTCAGGCTTAATTACCGTTATATGTTTAGATTATGCCACAGATTATTTAGTTCAGTACCTAGGTTTGCCAACCTTGTTCTCTTTGTGGTGTGACAGGGCAGTAATTAGAGCATTACTGAAAAAACCTGAGGTTTCCCATGCAGTTGTGTCCAGGAGGCCTGGTGTTCTCACTGTTCCTTCGGGGCATCCTCACTCAGCTGTCTCCCCGCCACCCTCAACGTCCATTGGTGAATGTCTGTATGGAACAGCCCAGGTGGCCCTAGCTTGATTTCATATGAAAATTTATCATGGCTAGGAAGCAGTGGAAAAGCCCATTGATCCCGTAAAGGGCTAATGGGATATGGCAGGGCAAGGTTTCCCAGTCCTCATTGCGTGGGTCTGTCCCGTGCATTGCACTGTAACACGTTTAGCAGCATCTCTGACTTCTACTGGCTAGATGTTGATGGCGTGCTCCAGCTGTGACAACCAAAACTGTCGCCAGCCATTGCCAGGTGACCTCACAGAGCAAAATTGGCCCTGGTTTAGAAACACTGTCCTAGAGAAAGGGAAAGAAAACTGCCCATCGGCTGGTCTTATTTGAGCGCTCAGTGTGGAAGATCTTTTCTACCTCCTGGTAGAATTTCATAATTGTTTATGCTTTCAGTTATTGGAGGTGAGTATTCTTGGTTCCACCTCTTATGTATGGTGCAAGAGAAGTATTAGTATGAAGTGGAAAGAATTATTAAGGTACCAGATAGGCTTATCTGAGGAGTGGGGATTTCTATATACAAACTCCTAGATAGATTCCTATGATTAGGAATTAGAATTCCTATGATTCTAGAGTAATTGGTAAAGTTTCTGGGTAATGATACTTTGCTATTCATATGTCACCTCGAAATATGCTCAAAATGCCACATTACTGATGCAATAGTGCCAGAGAAGCAGATTTGATGACCTTTATTGGTTGAAGTGTCTGGACTTACAGTTCTGTAACAGGACTTACAGTCTGTCTGGACTTATAGTTCCCTGTCACACAAATGGGTCTGATCCCAACTACACAGGGAATGGCACAAGACCTACACAGCACATTCTTCTCTTAATTTTCATCTTTAGGGAAAGAACCTACTTATTTTCATGACAATTCCAATACTTTGAAATTCCTTCCTTTTCTCTTCCCCTTTTCCAAGGCTTTTCATCTCTCCCCTCTACTTTCTTCTTCCAAACCACTCAGCTGCCCCTTTAAGGGAAACTTCTAGCCAGTAACGGAGCACCAGACACATCATACAAAATCAACATATTTTTGTTGAATGAATGAATAAACGAAAATGTGAAAACCACTAGATAAAAAGGAAACTACCCTATATATGAGGCGAGATGTAAAAAAACAATAAGAGGAAGGACTATTCACCCAGATCATCATATAGGTGGCTTATGGTGTTGTCAGTGTATCCCAGGTTTATATTGCATATGCATTTTCATTTGTACATGGATGACGCTCCCTTTAAAGTGAATACTTCTCTGTCCAATTATAGAGAGTTAGATGCACACACATGCATGCACACACACACACACAAATATGTGAACCAAGGAGTGAGTCTAATTGCTAAGCTCAGGATTCATATAGCAGAACACAACAGTACTTGCTCATCAGGGGTAAGGCTCACACCTCCTTAGCTGGCATTTCATGGCTCTTGGTTATTCATGAGGTGCTTTGTTATTAGTTCAGTTTTGCAAAACACCCTAAAACCCCTGGTTGCTTAGTGAGAGTGTGTCTAGTACCTGACTCAGGTCACCTGCCAAAGAGTAGATTATTCCTGTATACCTTTGTCCCCATAGCCTTATATTTTCCCACATTGCAACAGTGCTTGGGAATCAGAATGAGTTCTTTTGGCCTCCCAATTTGACTCAGGAATATTTTTAGCCATAGCTATTATCATGGAAAGCCTCGTGATGCCTGATGCCTTTGATATCTGACCTCTTCAAGTGCCATGCAAAGTAGAAAGGCTGTGGTCAGCAGCGGTGTGGCCTGAGAATTGAGTACCTGATCTTGATGCAGAGGATTCAACATCCCCGAGGGAAATGGCTGGACCCAGGGGATCCTAATCATGGTTTACTTTTACTTCTTGAATTGAAGGTCTGTTTTACATACAGAAAATTCTTTAGTGATAGTGTTTCACTATGAGGTTGAGTGGATGGTAATATATAAAGACTACTATATAAATCTTTTCCCATTTTGAAGGAGAAAGAACATTGCAATTTTTTAGAGGGATTAAACATAGGCGCATTTTGGGTACAGTGAAATATGTGGCAGCTCCTTGGGAGTCCAGCTCACTAGCTCATTTGCTTCAATTCAGTAGGTATTTGTTAAGCATCTCCTAAGTGATAGTAATTGTACCGAACACTGAGAGGAATACAAAGGAGAAAAGACACAATCCTTATTCTGAATGGATCCTCACTTCTCTCTCACCATCATTTTCCAATTTGAAGTTGATGGAAGTTAATTTTTAAATCTCTGGAAGAGACCTTAATCTCCTAAAATTCAAATATTAAAAGCATCTTGAAAAGGAAAAGGGATTTAGAGTTCATTCTCTCAACCACAAAAGAATCATAATTTGAACATCTATAAGATCTAATGAGAACTGAATAATAATGCCTCCATCAATTACAATAACGTACGAGTTGCTATATTCACTGATATTTGATTAATAATAACAAAAATAATAGCACTTACAATTCTGTGATTTTTCCTCAAAATGGGAGAACAATGTTACATGCATTCTACTTAAAAGATGGATATTGTTTTTCCTCTGACTTATAATTCCAGAGGACCAAACTGTAGGCTATCCCTATCATAGAATTCTCAGAGTTGGAAGGGATCTTGCAGGACATCTGGCCCACCTATGTAACTAAAGTACTTCAGAGGGGAGTAGTCCTTCCTTATTCTACTATTTCTACCCTCTTTCTGCTGGGAATGTTGTTCTCACCTGCCATTGAAGGTGACTGGGAATGAGGGCCAGTCTGTAGTGATCCAATGTTCAGGGTGGCCATGATGGCCTCTGTATCTATCAGAATCTGGCTGCCTGATGCCTTGGGTGGGGGGGATAAGACAACACACATGGAACATTCTTCTACGTTGACTGCATGGAGGTCTCCGGCATAGAGTGCAGATCCCTGATGAGAGGAAAACAGATAGAGGAGAGACTTATCATATGGAGGGATTTGGCCTCATGGCTCATGGTGTGGCTTTTTGTGGATGATGCAATTTAAATCTATTAGATGACTCAAATGGAAGAAGAGAAACAGAGTCAGGAAAACAGTGGGGAGGAAAACATTCAGCAAAAGGAGAGAATATGGACCTAAAGGCAAAACTGGCATCCTCACAAGCTTGCTAGTTAGGAGCTGGCCCTATGTGTGCTCTCCAGATTAACCAGCAGAGTGGTAGTTGCTTCTCTCTTTGGTCAAGAAATGGGGATCTGATCTGATCCCACCTCCAGGCAGCTTAGAGGCCACTACTGGTAATTTCTAACATTAGCTGGATCTAGAGATTCTGGTCATTTTCTTTTCTTCCTTCCTTTGTATGACTGAAGCAAGAGGGAAGGCTCAGGGAACTTTATGGTGGCTTTTGTAAAAGAAGCAAATGCAATTTGCTCCTTGAGACAATTATTTTTGAAGTTTCAAAAATATATTCCTTACATATTGCTAGCATTATTTCATGAAAATTCAAATGGTTTGGTGTACTTCACAGTGCATATAATGGGCTTTTCATCCAGGAAAAGGCATAGAGTGAGATGAAGACCTACAAAAGTTCAGGGAAGATATAATTGTAACTGCAATACCACATCTGTATAGTTACATTTCTCAAAAAGGTAAACCAAATTCTTCCTCTTTGACTGAACATGGTAGCTGATGCCTCTAACTCCAACACTTTGAGAAGCTGAGGTGGGAGGAATGATTGAAGCTCAGAGTTTGAGACCAGCCTGGACAACATAGTAAGATATCATCTCTAAAAAAAAAAAAATTAGCCAGGTATGGTGGCATACACCTGTAGTCCTAGCTCCTCAGGAGGCTGAGGTAGGAGGATCACATGAGCCAAGAGTTTGAGGCTGTAGTGAGCTATGGTCATGCTATGGCACTCCAGTCTGGGCAAAAGGGCAAGCCCCATCTCTTAAAAAAAATTCTTCCTCTTCATACATCTATCAGGGACCATGTGGCATTATGTGATCCATATAAGATACCTCCAGAAAAGATGAAAAAATTATAATGCACAGACTGGTCATTATGAGCTTAAGTTTAGCTATTAAATTAAAATCAGACTCAGAAATGCAGGAAAACTCTTCTTTGTATGAAGACATAGTGTTTGAGCATAAACTCAAGTCACACAATGTCTGGATTAAATCCTAGTTTGCCACTTACCCATTGTGTAATCTTGGTCAAATTGCTTACTCTTTTTGTGCTTGAAGTTCACCATGTTTAATATCTACCCCATAACATTATTTTGATGATTAAATAAGTTAATATATGTAAAAACTATTTAGAACAGTTAGTTTCTGGTACCCAGTAAGCACTATATAATTGAAAGCTATTTGTAGCAGTAGTATTAATTCTAGTACTAATAGAACTGTTATCATTATAATTATTCACTATCCCCTTATGTGATACTTACAGGCAGAATGTATACCTGGGGAAAGTTCCGTAGAAATCGCCATTCTCTTTGCAGGTAATCCAGAGACCCAATGAACACAATGTCCTTCAGTTCCTGCCTGGTATAGTTGCTGGTTCTCAAGGGCATTACAAAGTTACGAAGCCCCAGCAGGGTTGAATGGGCATCTCCAAATATACATGCTACAATATGGTTCCGAAATTCACGTGTTGACTTTTCATTTCGTTTCTAAGGGTAAGCATTCCAGAGACTAGTCATTTTGATACATAAGATGAGAGTCTCTCAAAGTGAGCTCCCTCTCCTTATCCTCACCCCAGCTTATCTAGGTACATCCACAATAATATTTTCATAAGCTTAATAGAATTTTGCAAATTGCTTATAAAAATGTAAATTATGCATAAATTGTACAATTACACCTTCTTTGTTTTTGTGGAGTTCCTTCTTATTTCACTTTTTTTTGTAGGTTTCTATTAGCGTGAAGTGCATAAATTAAAGCTTAGATCAGCATCATTCCTCAGGATGTAAAATATTGAACCAAATGGGGAAAACATTTCTTGATTTTTATCATATGTTGTTAGCCTTGTATGTGCTATAGTAAGATTTGGTGAAAAACTAAGACATTTTAAATTCCATTGCTAAAGTTATATCATCTAGTGAGCCCTTAAAATTGCATCAGGTTGTATGACATGTTGCAGTATTCAGTTGTTTTTCATATACAGGTTTGAACCATATGAATTTGCCTTTTTATGGGTCAAAAATGACTAAATATTGGCAATTTCATATGATTAAACCTAATACACTGAACTGATTCAATAAACTCTCTCCTGAGTCAAGGAAGTTCATCATGCAAAGTGCACAAAAGAAATAGGAAGGTTATAAAAATTCCATTTGATCCCAAACATTTGAATACATATCATACTTTTATCAGCATTGCCAGTTATTAACATTTCCCCCAAATAGAAATCATAAGCAGTTACGTTGAAAACAAAATAATGTATATGACATATGTTTAGATTAGCTTTTCTACACATTCATAAAGACTCAAACAAATAATAAACATAAATTTAAGAAAATGATATTCCTGTAGGAAACTTATATTAAGCCTATCTGGTTTCTTTCAGGGAATGGGCTAGTGTCTCCTCTTATCACATTGGGGCACAATAGAAAAAGTACCAAACCTGGAGTCAGAAAATATGATTCTGTATTCTGGTTCTATTGTTAGATGTATAACTGAACAAATTACTCAACCCTTCTGATCCTCAATTTCTCTAAAATGGTAAAAATCAAAAATTTAATTTTGTTTTGAAAACTAAATAACGTATTGTAAGCAAATGTTACTTGGCTCTAACAACTGTTCAATTACTATTAATCAAATCTGGCTCTTATTAAATTCCTAGATTTTCAAAGGAAGACACTTAGAAGTTGGTAGAGTATAAGTTATATGTATTTAAATTTAAGCATGAGCATGTTCTATATCCCTACACACAAAAAGACTCAAAATATTTCAAATGGATATATCATTCTTCCTATGCCAGTCCTTTGCTGGGTTAAATGACATCTTCTATGAAATGGAAATTGGAAAAAAAATCTAACAGGATAAATAAGTATCCTCTGACATCTTGACAATTAGAGTTTACCACGTTAGCATATACTGGGAAATACTGTACTGTTCTTTCTAAGACAGAACTTTCTAATACTTCTACTGTCTGTCTTTATCTACCCGTGAAGAAAAATAAAGCTACATGTTTGGAGAGCCTTCCGAGAGAGGGATATGAATCTTAACCAAATCTGTTAAATAATTGTCTCTTGCTAATCCGATTAGTTTAAACTTGAGTAATGAAGCCTCTAACGGTATTTAATGGAACAAGCCTGAAGTCCAACAATTGCTTTTCTGAGTAGAACTAAACAATTAGAAACAAGATACATGGCAGAGTGCATTAATGGGCACAGCCAGGGAGGGAATTTCTCCAAGAAACGGTGGCACAGAACTGCCTCCCAATTAAGAAAGATGGCGGCTACTGGGGCAAGGGGAGCATGTGCCATTTGTTCAAAGTAATTAAACTGACCGCTTCCACTTAACCCTCCTGCAAATGAAACCAAGTTTTCAAGTTTTCACAAAACCAATATTGCAACCTGGATGTTTCTCTCCTAGGGACACACATTTCAAAATCCTTAGCTTTTCTAAAACTAGAAGACATTCTAAACTTAACAAAAGACTCCGTGGGTAGTCTGTACTATATTCCATATCAAGTATCATAAGGAAAATGTCTAAATGCGATCGAGTAAAACATCTGCTATTTCCATTCCTTGATGGTGGATGTCTCACTTTGCCACCAAATTCCCAACCTTTCTAAAGATCTGCCTCCCACTGAAAACATGTTTGGCTTCCTGCTCAACGGATGTTTATTTTGCATAGTTTAGAAGCAGACATAATTGCTAAAATGGTGAGTTTCAGCAACCCTTATAGTCTTCAGTTGTTATGATAGCTCTGACAGTTTTGTGCTTCTGATCAAATGATTGATCATGCTTTTTGCAAAAAATTGGAACATATTCTGTCAGGACACTGGCACTGGGCCACAGGGATGTTGTATGTGTGCGTGTGTGTGTGTGTATGCCTGTGTCTAGCAGAAAAAAAATGAACTAAACTACTTTCGGAAAGCAAGACAAGATATATATGATTATCAATTAGTAATAGATGAAAAATTATATAGGGCTCACATAGCATGCAAGCAATCATTTTTATTAGTTAAATTTATCAGCTACTGCTTGTAAGGCAAACCCATGAGATTATAATTGGGTTTCCAACTCCTGGAAATAAGAGTAAATGTAGATCCAGAAAGCAGGTGGCAGAGCCTGGATTAGGATGTGGGGCTTTTTATATCTTGGTTGCTGGCATTTCTGTGAGCCAAGTTAGTTTGTCTTTTCGAGATGGCACACAGAGACAAGGACTGCAACATCTACAAGGATTCACCAAGGTCGTACGGGCTGGGGGAGGAGGACATTTAGGGGGCGCATTTGTGGCTAATGTGTTAAATGTAAGTATGACCACCTTTAAGAGGAACTACTGTAGAAAATCCAAATTTCAAAACCAATAAATTAGGAAAATGCTTATTTTCTTTGGAACAAAGCAAAAACTGCAGAGTCCTTGTAAACAGGAGGCTTCCCTGGTGCATTTAAATTAATTAGATTTAGTAGCAAAACAGCAAATCTTCAGGAGAACATTTTTTCTGAATAACTGAGTCAGCTGTATTGTTAAAGGAGGGAGGGAATAACTGAAGACATAAGTGTTTTAAATCCCAGCATATTACTCACACACACTTTGCCAATGCCACATGTGTTACTCTGCTATTCACATAGCTGGGGAGGTATGTGGTTTTTTGGTTTTCTGTTTTTCCTAAATTCACAGTTTACAACGAGAAGAGACAGGTGCTTATGACTGACAGAAGAACAGCATTTACCCTAAGAGATGCCTTATCTTATTTGAGATTTCATGCAAGATCACCTACCAGAACTATCTTTTCCAAAGGGGTCGATTTGCACCAGTGAAACATGCCACTGCTATCGAGACTGTCAGTGTCTTGCTCATAGAGAAAAGTCCTAAATAGGGAGAAAGGAGAGTTAGTCTGAGAACATTTGGGGCTCCACGGTAACAAAGCCAAGGTATAAAACTCATTATAGCCTTGAGCCTAAAGTGGATAATAACATAATGAGAATGATCTCAGGTCTGTGAAACTGCAGAATAAATGTCCATGTCTGAAGAGTGCCAAGGGCTGGATGACCAGACTATATCTATCACAGCCGAAACACACTAAGCACTTTGGGCAAAAACCACATCAGGATGTCTTCTTTACCTTAGATTATATGCACCTTGAAGGTGGTTATTTCTGCTTTTAATTTTGCTGTTATCATGATGCTATTATGGCTTGGCAGAAATCACAAGCAGTGTTTAGGGCACCCAAATATAGACTTTAAAAGGCTGTGAGAGATTTAATCATGGGCGGAATCTCTCTCTTTAGCCTATTTTTCTCCTTTCTCCTTTACATATCCTTTTCCTCATGGGTCCCTGTGGAAACATTCTTATTAATCAAATACATTCTGCATTCTTTACAGCTTCTACCACTGACGTGCATTTTCCCAGACCTTGCTCTGATCTTCATCTAAGTCTTGGCAAAGCCCTCCGCGTGATCACCCCACACTGCACTCGGGCATAACGCTCCGTTTGTAATATACTCAATCACTGAAAGGGCTAGATGAGCTTTTGGAAAATCCCACTCACATCCTACAGAATGCATGTTTGCTTGTTATTGAACAGAGGCAACCTTTCGATGATAGAATCACAAAAAGTTTAGGGTTATAGAAAGACTGGTGCAAGTCAGGAGAATCTAGCCTCAGACTGCAGAGCCCCAAATCCCAGAGGCCTGATCCCACACAGGCTATTTTCTCACCCAGGCTATGTGGTTCACTCGGGGGAAAAGGTGCTCCTGCCTCCCTCGGCCACTCGGGGCCTCAGAGGGTCAGAGACTCCACCATCTTATGGCCGCAACACCTGGAACACGGATCCTTGGTTGTCAGGCAGAGGAAGAGAGAGGAACTGCCTTGGCCCAAAGTGGCACACGTGTCATTTCTCCTCACATACCCTTGGCCAGAACTAGTCACGTGTCTCTTGCTAACTTTAAGGGGGCCCGGAGAATATGGGAAGAAACTGAAATATCTGGTGAGCATTTCCGTCTCTGCTGGAGACGTTCCCGACTACCCTCCCTTATTTTACGGGTAAAAGTCAAAGATCTAAGAAACTGTAAAGCTGGCACTTGAATATGTTGCTGAGGTTGAGGTGACAAGTGTCAACATCATTGGCTCTTGGTTCCTTCTGCAGCGTAGGGACAGGTAGGTGGGGCCATGTGACTAGCTCTGTCCAGTGAAACTCGAGAAGTCCCCTAACCCCGCCCCCTTTTGGGTCTTCCGACTATCTCCTAACCAGCTCTAGAGAGGACCAGCCTGGGTCCACAAGCGGTTATGGACAGCAGGGTGGGCCCTTCCTGCCTGACCCATGTTGGATATGTCCTGTGTTGGATATGACCCATGTTGGATATGTCCTATGTTGGATATGACCCATGTAGCATATGACCTATGTTGGATATGTCCTGTGTTGGACATGACCCATGTTGGATATGTCCTATGTTGGATATGACCCATGTAGCACATGACCTGTGTTGGATATGTCCTATGTTGGATATGACCCATGTAGCACATGACTCATGTTGGACATGTCCTGTGTTGGACATGACCCATGTTGGGTATGTCCTGTGTTGGACATGACCCATGTAGCACATGACCCATGTTGGATATGTCCTGTGTTGGACATGACCCATGTAGCACATGGCCCATGTTGGATATGTCCTGTGTTAAACATGACCCATGTTGGATATGTACTATGTTGGATATGACCCATGTAGCACATGACCCATGTTCGATATGTCCTGTGTTGGATATGACCTGTGTTGGATATGTCCTATGTTGGACATTACCCATGTAGCACATGACCCATGTTGGATATGTCCCCATGAACAAGAAATAAACCGTCATGTTGCTGAGCCACTGAGATTCCATAGTTGTTGCCACAGCATTAAATTCAACCTATCCTAACACTAACACCTTTCCCAAAAAGCATGTTGCATGGCATATTAGTAATGGGAAAAGTCCCAAGAAAAGGTTTTCTGTGTTTAAATAAAGTTTGAGAAAATAGCATATGAAACGTTCTGAAAACAGCATATAAAATTTCTGCAATAAGGAAGCCATTTAAAAACTGTGCAATCCAGTGTTTCACATACTTACCTGACCACATAGACTTTCACTATTTACTTACATACTTATTTATTTTATTTATTTACTTATTTCAAAATACCTGTCACTATCCCCTGAAACACTCGGTGGGGACACACTGTACTTTGTCACACCTGGCAATAGGTAGCTCATGACAACACTCTCTCCCGTGCCATTTCACTCTACATCCTGGGAGAAATACAACCTATTGCTCTCTGTGCTGAAGGGTTAAGGGTTTTCCCTGTGAATTAATGCAGCTCATTATTCAACACCTTATGTCATAATTTTTCAGGCAAAAGGACTTACTCAAACTTGGACTGAAGTGTCAGACCTACAGAAATGGGATAGGGAGAGGACCTAGGCAGGGAAGCTGGGGTGGGGAAGGGGCACTGGAGAAGGGTTTGGGAAGGTGGAGAAGGTAGTTCCTAGTGATATTGGCCATGGCCTTGATGCAATCATTTATCTCCTGCACTTGAGAAGATGTTGTACTGTAAGCTGCAAGGTCAGCTTGACCGAAACGGGTTACCTTGTTCATTCAAATTGGCACAGCTTTTCATAATTTAAATATCCATAAGTCATGAGCCCCAACACCAAATTCCAAGATCCCCACGGCTCTCTTAACGGGACCAGACAGGACCATGGTGCTGGCTATATGTCAAGCTTGTTAAAGGGACTCACCAGGGAGCATACTTACTACCTGAGTCTGGTTTCAATTTTTATCAGGATTTGGAGAACCGGTTATAGTACTCATTTACAGAACCTTCTTTCTCTCCATGAGTAGCTTTCTGGACACTGTCCCTTTGATTTCTCAAAACATATTTACATAAAGTACCCAAGCTGGTGGAGACTATCTCTCAGGGACACTTTGAAAACAATTTAGAAATGGCTATCTTACCTTTGGAGAGGTGGCTTCCTGCTCTCTGCTCTCGGCACTCAAGTCTATGGCTACTGCTACTATTCTCCTCTGGTCACTTTCGTCAGCTTCCCCCCACTTCCCTTCCTCCTCCACACCCATGATGGATGAAGAGTCCTTGGTCTGGTAATAAAACGCCCTTTTGGCAAAAGGAAGATGATCTTCTCCCAAGCACATTTTAACTTGACTCAGAATAGCAAATCAATCACTGCACATTTCTATCATAATAAAAGCATGATCTATGTACACAAGCTGTCACAGACAACATCTTTCTTCATTCCGATGTTATGGAAAACAGATACGCCTTAGAGGAAACACCTGTTGGAGACCCGCATAAAGGAAAAGGCTGGAGGACACCCACTTCATCATAAAGGCATCCATCTGGTGTCCTTGCCAAAGCAGAACCTAATGTGATTTAGATCACCATCCCTTAACTAAAGTTCCCTTCTGCCATATGCTTTGCAAATGACATGATCCTTGCAGAAATATACCTTCTAAAGAGACTAATAAATCATCTCCAAGAAAGCTCAGCACTAGCAGTCTTAGAACTTGGAAATAAGAAATAGAACATAAAGGAGGTGCCATGGGAGGAAAAGGTAGCCGTGGGGACAGCATCCAGGTCAAAACAGACATGTCACTCACTGACCAAGCTAGGGGCCCCGTAGGTGAGGGGGCTGTGGTGTAGTGGAGAGGCTGGCAAGAAATATGGCGGGAGTTGTCTGGGACGGCCTCCCGCAGGGCATGTTTGGGATGAGAGTGAGGTTGGTTCCCTGGTCACACAACATGCTTCGTACTGCCCAGGGAGTGCCACCGCCCTGGGAGCTTCCAGGAGGTCCTGGACCTTGAAATGTCCGCAGAGTCAGGTCTGTGGCTTCCACCTTTGGAAATCCATAGGTCAAGTGTGAGAGTGAAAATGGCTTCTGCAGCTAGTCCGCATGTAGCTGTGTGGAGCAACACGTGAAGGAAGCTCCGGCTTTCCTTGGCGATGATTGCCCTTCTTTGAGCTGCGTTGGTACGCGTGAAGCCACTGTCCTGTGAGTGCATGCTCGACCGTGTCCCAGCTCTGGAAGTCAGGCTCTTCCGTCCCTGCTTCCCAGAACGATTCTGAACAGAGCACTTATTCTCCCATGTTCAGAGCAACTTATCTCGTAGGAATCCTATCACTTAAAGGAAAATATAAATAAACGATCATGTACCTCTGGTTACCAGTGGTTGGCACCTGAAGACAAAGAGATCAAACCATTATAGGGAAACCACTTTTAACGTGGTAAATTAGGTTTCACAGTGCCAAGTTAGGAAGCATGGTTTCCAAGAATGTAAATCAGTTTTCATTATTTTCCCCAACTTGCAGAATTGACTCAGATTATTCTCGAAGATGATCTGCCAATGGATGTGATCTTCCACTGCTCACGATATCTGGTAGAAATTTCAAAAAGCCCCTACAGTTCCTTTCATTCTTTTATAGGCCTAATTTTCAGCTGTGTCAGGAAATCCTGGCTTATAATCATTTCATTTGAAATCTCCTTAAAACTCCACAGGTGGCTTGTAAATTCTTAGGAGAGCATTTTCTAGGCTGAATGCAAAGCAATATATATTTTGCTCAAAACCTGAGCTATGCAAGAATAACAAGTCTTATGAAGTTTCAGCATAGGGAGGAGGACCAGTTCCATGACGGAGTGTTGGAAGAAGAGAAGGAATGTGTCTGTGTGTCTAAGAGTTTCAATGACCTTCTTGGTTCAGTCTTTGAAAAATCCATTGGAACTATCTCTTGACAGTAATAGTTGAGTTCCCACAAAACATAGAGAAGCAAAACCTTGGTCCCAGGATGTTTCTGATGGTGCTGAAATTTTTGTATCTTGAAAGC